TGATTTAAATCATATACGTATATTTTTTTACAGAAAGACTCATTCTTGCTGGTATGATCTTAATATTTACAACCAGATGTAGGTTTCATTTTTGGAATAATAAATTTTCAGAGTTGTTTTTACAGTTATTTCAGAAATTACTCATTTGATCATACTATTAGAAATACATAGTTAATTATGAAATTATTGTGAGGTTTAATAAGTTAACTGTTAATATTTGGAGAACCTTTCTGCTGTACTTTATTGAAAGGGTGTTATTTCCTTAATAACAATTTAAACAATTTATTTAACTAAAACAATAACATTATAGCATGTGTATCCATGTTTGTTAACTGATGCGGTTAAACAAAAACAAAAAACTTAGACTGAGTTTTAGCACACATGAAAAACTTAAAACAACTCCTCATTTCCTGATGAATAGCCTTTGGACTATAATGCAACTTAAATAGAAAACTATCTTTAGAAAGATTTTTCCTCCAAAGCATTTTATTTTAAAAATCCAATTTAAATTTATAAAAATCATTGATTTTTATCCACCCTGCCCTCCACCCATAGCTCCTTCTTCACCCCCTGTTTTCTCCTCCTTCTACAGCTGCTATAGCTGGATTCCTGCCACAGTCTGAACAATTTATGTATCCAGTACATTTGCCATGCATTATAGGGATGGTGCTTGTCTTTTGCCGCTCTGACCTCACTTGTTAATTCCCCGGCCAATTGCTATTCTTTGGTGTCCTGAGAATAAATGCTAAGCCCAGCACCAGTTAGGGAGAGTTCTTTGAAGAGGGTCCAGTCAGCTCATATTGCTAGATCCGGTCCCCACCCCTATATTTTGGTGGGGCTGTGAGATGTGATGAGCCTGAGAGGGACTCAATAATAAAATAAGAAATCACTAAAGAGTAGCGAAAAACATTGGAGGAGGGGACTCAATAATTAAAAACTATTATACATGAATCGAATTAAAATTCATTCTCTCTCTCCCTCTCCCTCTCAAATTTTTGAAATTTTGAACAGAGGAGTTTGATAGAAAAAACATATTTGTAAGCCCTGCAGGGCTGGTATTTATTTATCTGTGTTTAGAAGTATATAGAAAAATAGTGAGGTGCGGGCACTCTGCCAAAAGAAAAAAGGACCTGCCCTCAGATGCATACATCCGGCAACGTGGAGCAGGGAAAACTGCTGGTGGAGAAAAGGTTAGCCTCTTTTCTTGCCTCTGCTACTTTTCTGCTCAGAATCCAGGTGCCACTTTTTCTAAAAAGCAAAAGGAATTTATGTATTGTTTTGTGTACTGAGCAAGTAATACACTCTCAACCTAACCTACCTCACAAAGTTGTTGTGAGAATAAAAATGGTTCAAATTCATATACACCACGATGAGCTCCTTGGAGGAAGGTATGGTTGCAAATATTACAGATAGGAAGGCTGTGGGGATGGCTGTGTTGTGTCGCTTGTTTACTTTATAGACCACTGTTTCCCAGGAGCCTAGAGTGGGTTCCAGCATTTTTCCAGGCACATACTTCTGTCTCCAAGTGATTTACAGTGTTAGCAAGGTAAAAAGAACCAAAGTCTTGGGTACCTAGAAGTCTTACAAAATTTATTACGTCATACACTTTTGTGGACTAGACCACTTCATCAGATACCTGGAATGAGGTCCATGTAGAAACATCCTCATCATTGCTTAGTGAATTAGCAGGAGTAGTGGAACAGCAAACCTTACCTCTATTTGGACCAAAATGCCATGATAGATTGAAAAGCTCTCCTGCTTTCAATTCGTGCCCATTGATTCTTCTGTGTGCAGAGACTAGTCTGTTTGTCTTAGTAATGCAAAAGAGCATTACTGACAGATGATCGTTTTTGTTGCATCGGGAGACATGCAAGTGCATGAAACGCTGATGTTGTGGCTGACTTTATTAGTTTTGTAATAGTGTTATCGCGACACGGGTGGCACTGTGGGTTAAACCACAGAGCCTAGGACTTGCCGATCAGAAGGTCGGCAGTTCGAATCCCCGCGATGGGGTGAGCTCCCATTTCTTCCCCATCTCCTGCCAACCTAGCAGTTCAAAAGCACGTCAAAGTGCAAGTAGATAAATAGGTACCGCTCCGGCGGGAAGGTAAACAGCGTTTCCGTGTGCTTCTCTGGTTCGCCAGAAACGGCTTAGTCATGCTGGCCACATGACCCGGAAGCTGTACGCTGGCTCCCTTGGCCAATAAAGCAAGATGAGCGCCGCAACCCCAGAGTCGTCCACAATTAGACCTAATGGTCAGGGGTCCCTTTAACTTTTTAATAGTGTTATGAGAGTAGATGTGGTGTTTGCTGTTGTTGCTGGTGATAAGTGGTTTTAGTTAACTGCCTAGGCTGTCTGTTAGCAAGAGCAGGCCTACCACCCAAGGCCTTTGAGAGGGGCATTTCACTGTCCTGGATATGTAGGTCCTTGATGATATGTTGGAGTGGTTTTAACTAGGAGATGCAGGTAGCCAGCAAGTAATGATCTGTCACTTTCTTTTCTGGACCTGTAGCAGGTTATTCCTGGGTATCAGTCTGGCCTTTTTGATCTGCTTTGTCAGTTCATTGGCTGTGTTTGGTAGAAATGTGTTGTGTAAATCCTTTAATAGGGAGTCTTGGTCTGACAGATCAGAACAGAGCCTGTTGTATCTCAAGGTTTGGCTGTAGACAATGGTTTTTGTGATGTGTTCTGGGTGGAAGTTGGAAGCGCGTAGCAGCCCCTAGTTTTCCAACGTTAAGTGGTGCTTCTGTGTTCATTATGTAGTTGCCTAGTAGGGTCCAGAGAGGATACTTGCTTTGTGGACTGCTGTAGATTCAGATCAATGGGGTGGAGAGCAGGGCCGGATTTAGGTTTAATGGGGCCCTTTATATGTCCAGCTGTCCTTTGTCAACAACAAATTGTCGCTGTTTTTTGTGTTTTTTATGTTATATGGTAATTTATGGACCTAATGGGTATCTAAGGCCATTTGCCACTGTTGTGATATGTAGGCTTTATTTTACAGTGGTACCTCGGGTTAAGTACTTAATTCGTTCCAGAGGTCCGTTCTTAACCTGAAACTGTTCTTAACCTGAAGCACCACTTTAGCTAATGGAGCCTCCTGCTGCCGCCGTGCCGCCAGAGCACGATTTCTGTTCTTATCCTGAAGCAAAGTTCTTAACCTGAAGCACTATTTCTGGGTTAGCGGAGTCTGTAACCTGAAGCGTATGTAACCTGAAGCGTATGTAACCCGAGGTACCACTGTATTTGTTTTTTATCTTATATTTTGGATATGTACATCCAGTTTTTTTTACCCTTTTGGGGGGGGGGGCAAGAGAGGGGCCCTAAGCTACAGCTTGCTTAGCTTATACAGTTAATCATAACTCTGGATTTAGAATTGTTTGGGGTTGCTGTGCTCATCTCGCTTTACTGGCCAAGGGAGCCGGTGGACGGCTTCCGGGTCATGTGGCCAGCATGACTAAGCCACTGCTGGCGAACCAGAGCAACACACGGAAACGCTGTTTACCTTCCCGCCAGAGTGGTACCTATTTATCTATTTGTACTTTGACATGCTTTCGAACTGTTAGGTTGGCAAGGAACAGGGACCGAGCAACGGGAGCTCACTCCGTCGTGGGGATTCGAACCGCCGACCTTCTGATTGGCAAGCCCTAGGGCCTAGGCTTTGTGGTTTAGACCACAGCGCCACCCGCGTCCCTCAGTTGGGGTGCTCATTCATAAATCTGTACTAAGCGCATCCTGCAGAAATGTTGGCAGGCGTGTCCTCTTCCAAGTGGAATTCTGACCGTCCCATGTTGCCATGCCATCCAGTTAGGAAGCATGGACAGGGGTGGCCCCCACACCAGGAATGGCCCAGTGACTCCTCTCTCTACCACCAGCTGTTTATGATTTTGGACACCAGTACAGAGTATATTATATTAGCTTACAGATCAATAAGTTAAACTGCAGCTTTGGAGTTCCAGTGGAACTTCCAGTGGAGCACAACAGAGCTACAGAACTCCAGATGCATCCGGTTGTAAAGAAAAGAAAAGGGAGTAAAAGCTATCTGTTGCATTTGTTTCTGTTTAAATGAACAATTTTGACAAAAGCATTCTGATCTGGTTTTGAATGAATGATACTGTGTGTTATAACATTCAATGGGGGGAAGTAAGTAATGAAGAAACTAGTTTTAAAAAAACAGTTTAAGGCATTCAACACATTCATTTTTATTTCTTATTTGTGTCTAGCTTCCTATTGAAGATTTTAGCAGTCTTGGTCAGCAATCATTAACCGTAACATTGACAGCAACAGTGCCAGAATCCACAGAGGACATCCTCTTGAAAGGGTTTTCCATGCTGCGTATGGAAAATGAAAGAATCGAAACAGCACAGCAGGTGAAAGATAACATAAATATCAAGCCTTCTCTTATTCCAAATGCAAAACGTAAGGTGTTAAATGTGATGTTATTTAATACAGAGGCAAAAATTCTGGCTGGGCTTTTGTCTTTAGATGCTTGTGCATGTCTGCTTTATTCTTCCTTCTCTGAGGCCTGTCTGTGTCCCTCTCCCTATTCAGAGGTGCCTGTACTTGGCAACTCATGGCCAGGAAGAGAAGCTGGAGCATAATGCTTAACTTGGTGAAGAGGGCAGGGACATTGTACAGGTTGTCAGATTCTAAAGGAGAGGTGGGCCGGGTGAGAGTGGCTGGGGATGGGAACACTGCGGACCTCCTTTTTTGTCCGACAGTCGCAGTTACTTACTTACTTATTTATTTATTTATTTAGAGCATTTCATTAGGTTTTTTCCCCCCTCCTCTGTGTAATTGCAAAGAAATAAATCATAGAATTGAGAGGGACCTTTTTTTAAAAAAAATAATAATATTTATTGAGGATTTTAAAATTACAAAGAAACAAAGAAAAAAGTAGACGAAAAGAGAAATTAAACAATGCAAGTCAATAAAAACAAAAATCAAAGAGAAAAACAAATCACACAAATACATCAAAAGCAAAAAATAAACAAAAAATTTAAAAACAAATCCAATATTCCCAAATCTTTATCTTTCATTAACTTGTTTCATGGACCTCCTCACACCTCCCTTTTTTGTATTCTAGTTATTGATTATCACAGCAAATCCTTCCCATTTTTCATAATATTCTGTCATTAAATTACCTTAATTTATTTTAACCTTATCTTACTATAAAAAACCCTAAAACTTAAAGCTTGAGTCTTATCTATACCAATTTCTCATAACCATGACATATTCTTGCATAGTTCTTTTTAACATTTCTGCTAAAGCCAAATAAATTCGTTCCAACATCTTTTTTAATACTTATTAATTTTAGAAAACATTCCTAAATAGAATTTTTGAAACTTTCTCCAATCTTCATCCAATGAATTGAGAGGGACTTTTTTACCTTAGGAGTAATAATAATTTTTTTTTTTTTTATATCCCGCCCTCCCCAGCCGAAGCCGGGCTTAGAGCCGGGCTAACAACAGTAAAATGATAAAACATTCTAAAATCATTTCATTATAAAATTAATTCCAATCAGATTAATGGCAAGCATTGGGCTAGAGTTCTGTGAGGATTGCCAGAGGAGGGAGTCAGGCTGTGCCCTGGCCAAAGGCCTGGTGGAACAGCTCTGTCTTGCAGGCCCTGCGGAAAGATGTCAAGTCCCGCAGGGCCCTAGTCTCTTGTGACAGAGCGTTCCACCAGATCGGAGCCATAGCGGAAAAAGCCCTGGCTCTAGTTGAGGCCAGCCTAACCTCTCTGTGGCCTGGGACCTTCAAGATGTTTTTGTTTGAAGACCTTAAGTTCCTCTGTGGGACATACCAGGAGAGGCGGTCCCGTAGGTACGAAGGTCCTAGGCCGTATAGGGCTTTGAAGGTTGAAACCAGCACCTTAAACCTGATCCTATACTCCACCGGGAGCCAGTGCAGCTGGTATAGCACCGGGTGAATGTGAGTAGATCTTCTGAATTCTGCCGTCCAGTCAGGAAGCATGGACAGGGGCGGCCCCCACACCAGGAATGGCCCAGTGATTCCTCTCTCTACCACCAGTGCTGTTGTTGCAATACACTGGATTATATTTCCTAATAAGCCCGTTTCATCAGCCCAAATGCCATTGATGCCGTTCTCCCAGAACATCCTAAGTAATCTCTTCCCTTCTTTGCTCTAGTTCTTCTCATGGTTTGATCAACTCCATACGCAGATGGATCAAGATGAAGGGGCTAAATACAGGTATATATGCCTCCCCACCCCACTGGTTGAATTGTGACTATCAAGGCATAGCACCCAACAATGGCAACTTGCCAAACATCCTGTGAGAATGTCCTGCCGTTCTTGTGTGCTTTTGGTGTGTGCTATGCCTTCGTTTTCATCCTCTTCCCGTTCCACTCGATACAATACAATACAATACAATACAAATACCTTTATTGGCATTACAATTTAAGACATTTCAAATCAGTGGGATAAATTTAAAAGGGGCAGGAGTGAGGCTGTTGAGGGTCACAAGGCACTCGGTTGTTCTGCTTCACCCTGTTTTATTTCCTAGAGGGATGATTCATTAAGAAGCCTTCTGGGTAAAATGGAAATTACTGCCACTGAGGCAGTAGCGTCCTTGTCCCTATCCGCCAGGAGGAACCTCGTTTGGCTTTCTCGGAGCCGTTGGTCGCAGGTCTAACTTCTTGCTCAGCATCTGTTTGCGGAGTTTGCTTTGCAAAGGGCAGTCCAAAAGAATATGGTCCGGTCAATCTGGTAATCCCTGATTGCAGACGCACAGGCGGACTTGATAAGGAATTAGTGAGGATCTACCTGTGGTCACGTGACACGGGTGGCACTGTGGGTTAAACCACAGAGCCTAGGACTTGCCGATCAGAAGGTCGGCGGTTCGAATCCCTGTGACAGGATGAGCTCCCGTTGCTCGGTCCCTGCTCCTGCCAACCTAGCAGTTCGAAAGCATGTCAAAGTGCAAGTAGATAAATAGGTACTGCTCCGGCGGGAAGGTAAACGGTGTTTCCGTGCACTGCTCTGGTTCGCCAGAAGCAGCTTAGTCATGCTGGCCACATGACCCGGAAGCTGTACACTCCCTTGGCCAATAAAGCGAGATGAGTGCCGCAACCCCAGAGTTGGTCACAACTGGACCTAATGGTCAGGGGTCCCTTTACCTGTGGCCACTGCAGAGGGGAAAGCATAAAAGCTCTTCGTTGTGAAGGAAGTAGTAGGTCTTTTAGGTAATTGGCATAAAATCCGTAAGTAGTAGTTATGCCTAGGGTCTCCAGAGAACAGGGTCTCAGAGTGTGAGGAGACAGACGCTGTTTTTCGTGGTTATAACGCCGTTGCTTGATTGTTTGGAGTATGTAGTTTTCATCACATACTTTGAGGCTCTCCAGAGCAATACCCAAACTACGTATTTTGTCCTGAATTTTTCTATATACCATGAAGTATGGTCTTCAAGTATAGAAGTTGAAAAGGAGTTTGGTGTTGCTCTGTAATGTATGTTCAGCCAGGTCTTGATTGTAATAAGCCATGTGTTGGTTTCCATCAGATGTTGACCGGTTTCTGCGCATAAGGTTAGATAGCTTAGATAGCCACTAGTTAACCAGATCGCTCGGAAGCTTGTCTGCACAGTATAGGTTCAGCTACACAGATTCCCCGTGCTACTATCCTGAATCTTTCTATCAGTTCAAAGGATAAATGTGTGCCTATATGTAACGGTTGCGTTCTGATTTCTCTAGGCAGACAAGAGCTTACTTGTCTGGTTTTGAGGAGCAATGCGATGCTATCTTGAGTGATGTCAACAGTGCTCTTGAGCACCTGGAGTCATTACAGAAGCAATATCTCTTTGTTTCCACCAAGACAGGAACGCTGCATGAAGCCTGCGAACAGCTATTGAAAGAGCAGGTAAATTCATACTTAGTTAGAAAAACACTTCCGCTTCCTATGCATCTGTAGCTACATTGTTTATTTATTTATTGCAAGCTTTTTTATCCTGCTCTTTAGCCAAAAGGCTAAACACATTTAGCCAAAAGGCATGACACATAAGAGGAAAAATGATGGGGAGGGAAGAGGAAAAAAGCAGACAGTGAACAGTTCTTAGTCTTTATAATTCCTACGATAACCAGATGTAAAGGAAACAAGGGATGTGTGGCAAGAAGAGCACCTGACAAGCCAGGATTTTACCTTTTCTTCTGAGCAGTGGACCCTTTCTAGAATGGCTTATATCCCGGCAGAGAGTAACTTTTTTAATAGGGTGATATCAGCCTTAAATTGGACCAGAAAAAAGGTCTGACCTAAAGTTCCAGGTTTTAAACTCAATTTATGCTTTCTAAGCTAAATATATGAATGCCCATTGTAGCAAATGGCTTCAGATGTAAGCTATTCTAATAAAAATAGTTGATTCACCAAGTTCACCTTATACCTTTATATGCAAGTAAAATATAACAAAATGTATGTAATTGTTTTAGTATAATCAGCCCACAGGTTGTCCTCTCCTGACATACAGTGTATTTCCATGCTTTTACCTGCCTCTAAAAATAATTTATATTTCTCCTTGAACAGTCAGAGCTTGTGGACCTGGCAGAAAATATCCAGCAGAAACTGTCATATTTTAATGAACTGGAAAATATTAACACGGTAAGTAATTGTTTTGAAACACACACAAACAGACCAAAAAACTTTTTCTACTTTAGAGTCATGTCTTTCTAGAGACTCTTTAAAGAGTTGCATGCTCTGATTAGTAATTATCATTCTTATGTTAAAATCCTGTATAAAACTCTGGAGTAAGTGTACATGGAATTGAACTGAACTTTATTCTAAGTGAGCATGCATAAGATTGTTCTGTTAAAGTGGTTTTAAGCCTCTGTCTATGTTTGGTCTTCAAAAACAAGGAAGGAGCAAATTTCCAAGGGGCGCTGGAGAAATGTTGTTTATTAGGCCCAACTGTTGTCAAGTGCAGATTCTTTGGCCAGGGCATTATAAAATAACTGACTAATTTCAATAAGAACATTAATACAGTGGTACCTCAGGTTACATACACTTCAGGTTACAGACTCCGCTAACCCAGAAATAGTGCTTCAGGTTAAAAACTTTCAGGATGAGAACAGAAATCGTGCTCCGGCGGCAGCAGGAGGCCCCATTAGCTAAAGTGGTGCTTCAGGTTAAGAACAGTTTCAGGTTAAGAACGGACCTCCGGAACGAATTAAGTACTTAACCCGAGGTACCACTGTAATGATAACCTATAGAATGGGACTGAAAGTTGTTTAATCATAATACAAATATAAATAATTATATTACTCCAGGAAATGCAGCAACCAAAGTTAATAGCAGTGAGTTGAGTGTCAACTGGGGCCAGTGAAACCAAGGTTCAGATCGCAACTCAGATTAAAGCTCAGTGGCTGACCCTAAACCAGTCACTATCTCTTGTTATGAGGGTGAAATCAAATATGAAATATGCATACAGTTACATGCAATGAATGATCAGTATGTGACGGGGTTATAAATTTATTGCAGTTTATTGAATGGACCGCCATTATTCATGTTTCTTGATGCTGTGACTATGCCGAAAGACAATTACACTGAAAGTTCGGAAAATTCTGCATAGGAAAATGCTTACTTAAAACATTTTAAACCAATTTACAGTAAGTAAGCAGATATTGATGAGTATAAATAGTAAGGAACTAGGTAAGGTTCCCAACTCTGGGCACCATTTGCCATGTTCATTGAACTTTTGGTTGCTGCAGTTTGAGAGTATTAATATAGAGCATCCTGTGTGATATTTGAGGAAAATAATTTTGAAATGCATTTATGTTCCATGGGCTGATGAGAAGAAACATATGCTGAGGATGTTTTAAGAGAAAAATAGTATGGGTTGCATCTTCAAATAATGTTACACCAACCCGTACCTTAGTTTGAATGTGCAGAGTGGGCTGACAGCAATGGAGTGTTCTTTTCACTTGGGAAAAAAACCTTACCCCAACCTGAGCTCATGATTTGTCTCACTGCAGACAAACCACAAGCTGTAACCAACGAAAAGACAAACAATAAGCTCTGGTTCGAACAATAATGCAAAGCCAAACCATGGCTTAGCTCATGGAAATGCAGCAGCAGTTGGACTGGACTCATACGCTTACACTAAACCAGGCATAGGCAAACTCTGGCCATCCAGATGTTTGGGACTACAATTCCCATCATCCCTAGCTAACAGGACCAGTGGTCAGAGATGATGGGAATTGTAGTCCCAAACATCTGGAGGGCTGGAGTTTGCCTATGTCTGCACTAAACCATGGTTTGGTTTAAAGTGTGACACGAGCCTTAGTCATATTTATGGTAGACCCACTGAAATCAACTGGACTTAAATTAGTCATGACTAACCTAAGTCTCATTGATTTCTGAATTTCTGATTTCTAAGTCTGAATCTAACCCTATATATCAGGGGTGGAGAACGTGCAGCCACCCAGACGTTCATCACTTGAGGCATGGGACATGACTGGATGAAATACTTGTCCTGAATGTTAGTTTCCTTGATTGTTCTTTTAATTATTGGAAGACTTGTAATGAATAGTACTATATACAAATTTCTTTGGTTGTTTTTCTTACTGATACTTATATCACATCTTGTTTTTCCCTTTGCAAGAAACTGAATTCCCCTACATTGTCAGTAAACAGTGATGGTTTCATCCCTATGCTGGCTAAACTTGATGATTGTATTGCATATATTTCATCGCACGTAAGTTGGGCTCAGTTTTTTTGTCCCTGTTTACATTACTTTGTGGTGCACAATTCTGTTTCCCATGGGTTTTAAAACTGAGGAAATGCAGCGACAGACCTGGAAAAGGGACCTCATGCTTTCCGTGACAATCCTTATGGATTAAATCCCTACACTTCATTCTGTAGATGGAAGTGGCTCTGCCCCAGCGGGTATTCATGGGGAAAGGAGCAATTTTAGCTAATTCCTCTTCCTCTGTAGATCCAAATGCCGTCTCCCATGCTGTTACAGAGGTTTCCCCAACATTCAGAGCAGCTTTTCATGAGAAAGGCTACAGAGAGGAGGAGGAGTTAGCAAACATTTCTTCTCTTCTTTCCCCTTCTCTACACCCCCCTAGTACAATCACACAACTTCTGAATACAATTCCCTTGGTATAGAATGTGGGCTTATTAACTTCTTTGCACAAACCTCTGCCAGCCTTGATGGTTAGTTTCCTAAAAGCATCTGCGTTTGTTCCTCATTCCGTTGCATATTTCAAGGCAGTGTGCTTCATATCATTCCCTTTCAGTCCATCTCTTTTCTTTTGAGACACCAAGTCTGCTGATACAAGAGTGTTTGCTTTTTCCTGGGATAAATCGTGTTATTCCTGATTCTTAAAACATGTGCATTTAGTGCAAGACAGAAATAACCTTGTTCAGTTCAAAGATGAAGATGTATTGTGTCCATTCCAATTCCCTTTTTCTTAGCTTTTGCTTAAAATGTTGTTTTTTCTTATTTTCCAGCCAAACTTTAGGGATTATCCTGTGTATTTTGCAAAGTCCAAACAATGTCTTTCACGAGCTATGCACCTCATGAAAACATACACTGTGAATACACTACAAAACCTCACAAACCAGTTAATTAAAAGGGTAAGTTGGAAGAACCAGTAGTGAGTCGGTGTTTCTTTTGAACTAAAATATCTTGGGAATATCTCCCAAATAATTTACCTTTCTTATTGTGATTCTTCGCTGCACTTTTACATTCTGAAGCAGCATGTTGGGTGTTTGGCAAATTTAATAGTTGTCTTATCCAACACACAGTTTTATGATGTACAGACTTCTGTGGTGTGTAAATAACTTGAACAATGTGTTTGTTCCTCAACAATCCATTGAACATGAAAGTCTCCTTCCTTCAGCAGAGGTTGGATGGCCATCTGCCATGGATGCTTTAGCTGAGATTCCTGCATTGCAGGGGGTTGGACTAGATGACCCCTGGGTCCCTTCCAACTCTTTTAAGATTCTATGATTCCATGAATCCAATGAAGATGCAGTCTTGCAGCCTGCAAGAGTTTGGGGTGACTCAGAATGTCAACGGACCTATTTTGGGGAGAGAGGTGGCAGGACTGTAGAAGATATGCAAAAGGGAGAATTTGTATGTATTTTCTTTGACCAGGAGAGAATTGTACAATGGAGAAGGCACCTCAGCCTCCGGTCAGCCTAGGGGGAATATGCTAATACTTTAACTGGGCTTCCACATTGAGGTCATTCACTGCACAGCTGTCTGGGATGGATGTGAATTTCCCAAACGAGAAGGGTGTGAATTTCACAAATTAAACCTGGCTGGGGAGGCTGCCTAGAGGGCTTTTTTCTGAAGAGGTCTGCATGCCACTTATATTTTCCTTGGGTGCACAGTTTACTACTTCTGTGTCCTCCTTTCCCAGTGGCATCTAGTTATATGCATGTATGGAAGGACGCGGGTGGCGCTGTGGGTTAAACCACAGAGCCTAGGACTTGCTGATCAGAAGGTTCGAATCCCCGTGACGGGGTGAGCTCCCATTGTTCGGTCCCAGCTCCTAGCAGTTCGAAAGCACGAAGTGCAAGTAGATAAATAGGTACCGCTCCGGTGGGAAGGTGAACGGCGTTTCTTTGCGCTGCTCTGGTTCACCAGAAGCGGCTTAGTCATGCTGGCCACATGACCTGGAAGCTGTACGCCGGCTCTCTCGGCCAATAAAGCGAGATGAGCGCCGCAACCCCAGAGTCGGTCATGAATGGACCTAATGGTCAGGGGTTCCTTTACCTTTACCTTTACAGTGTATGGAGTTTTTGCAGTCACTGTGTAATAGTTTATTGTTTAGTAAGCTCATACTGCGAATGACATTTCTTTCTCTCTTTTTTCTTTCAGGACCCTTCAGTTGTACCAAATTCAGACAATGCCTTCACGTTATTTTATGTGAAGTTCAGAGCTGCTGCACCCAAAGTCAGAGTAAGTTGCCAAACTATGGTAGATGGAAGGAGTACTCAAAGATATGCTCGTAAGCGAAGGGTTGGTCACCTTTGTGGAATTTTCTTTGTTATACAGTACACTATTGAATCATGCATAAACGCTTATCAAGCAGGATTTCCCAAACTTGAGTCTCCAGCTGTTTTTGGACTACAATTCCCATCATCCCTAGCTAGTAAGACCAGTGCTCAAAAATGATGGGAATTGTAGTCCCAAAACAGCTGGAGACCCAGGTTTGGGAAACTAAGTCTTATAGTGTAGCAGTGTAATATCTTACACATATGTTCACTACGACATTGCTTGTAGTCTTCAAATCCCTGATCCAGTTCTTGAGGACACAGTGGACGCTTGGGTTGGGAACATGATCCGTGCGGTAGGCACGTTCGCAGCCCGTAGCGTTCGCAACCTGTAGCGCCGTGTCTGCGCACGCGCAGGTTGTGACTTGGTGCTTCTGCGCATGCACAATTTAGTGTTTCTGCGCATGTGCGAGCGCCGAAAACCGGAAGTAACCTGTTCCAGTACCTCTGGGTTCGGCGTGGTGCACAACCCAAAATCGCATAACCTGAAGCGTCTGTAACCTGAGGTACCACTGTACTATTGTGTGTGTCTATGGTTTGGAAGAAGCCTAGAAGTATGAATTACTCTCATATTCACTGTGTGCTGCAAGTTCTTTAGAAAAAGGAACACGGCCATCAGGCTGACTACTTGAATGTTTCTAATATCCCTGTGTAGGGAAGCATCAGAATGCTCTCAATTTTTTTCTTCTTGTTTCCTTAGACACTTATTGAGCAGATAGAGCAGCGGTCTGAGAAGATGCCAGAGTGAGTATGCAGAAACTAAGTCAATGGCAAGGATTGTGTTTTGTACTTGAAAATATTGAGTCTGATGCAGTAATATTAAGTCGATTTAGTCTTCCTCTGATATGTTGGGAGCCAGCATAAGGTGTGTTGTAACAGTAGAATCACCATTTCCGTTTTTACTTAGCATAGGTTTTTCTTTTTGGGGGACAGAAAGAGAGAAGGTGGCCAAGGGCAAAGGTAGATCGATCTTCTGTATATTTAATAATTGAAGAGGAAATTTCAGTATGCGTCACTTTCCTCGTGCCTGCACAACAAGCTTCATCTACCGAAATGTATTTTTAAAAACTGCAACTATAAAAGGAATAAGGGTGGCGCTGTGAGTTAAACCACAGAGCCTAGGACTTGCCAATCAGAAGGTCTGCAGATCGAATCCCCGCGACGGGGTGAGCTCCCGTTGCTCGGTCCCTGCTCCTGCCAACCTCGCAGTTCAAAAGCACATCAAAGTGCAAGTAGATAAATAGGTACCGCTCCAGCGGGAAAGTAAACGGCGTTTCTGTGCGCTGCTCTGGTTCGCCAGAAGCGGCTTAGTCATGCTGGCCACATGATACGAAGCTGTACGCTGGCTCCCTCGGCCAATAAAGCGGGATGAGCGCCGCAACCCCAGTGTCGGTCACGACTGGACCTAACGGTCAGGGGTCCCTTTACCTTTATATAAAAGGAATAAGACCCCTGCTGTCCCTTGTGGCACGTTGCCCTAGAGCAGGGCAAACTTTCCCAAACTTGGGTCTCCTGCTGTTGTTGGACTACAATTCCCATCATCCCCAGCTAACAGGACCAGTGGTCAGGGATGATGGGAGTTGTAGTCCAAAAAAATAGGAAGAGACCCAAGTTTGGGAAACCCTGCCCTAGAGAGATGTGGGAAGTTCGTCTTATAGTGTTAAAGAAAACCATACTCACAGTTTAAAGGGATTCCTCCCAGACAGAAATTTGTCACATCAGTGATAAGAATGCATAAGTTTTTACTACCTAAATCAGCAATAGGTAATTAGCTGTAAGATTAAACCTTCCTGTGTAGGCGGATGCTTCCTAACTCTCCTCTTTGTCTAGGTACCGGCAACTGCTAAACGAAATCCATCAATGCTACCTTGATCAGAGGGAGCTCTTACTAGGACCTAGTATTACTAGCACTGTGACAGAATTAACTAACCGAAACAGCAGAGATCATTGTGCTCTGGTAAGAGGCTTTGTGTGAACTTGCATTTTCTTGAACCTTGGATTCCTTTCGAATTCATTAGAAAATAAGCGATGTTTGCTAAATATTTAATAATGCATTTGCACCCCAGCCAGCTTTCAGTGCAAACGACTGGCTTCTCACCTTCCTCCTGGAGATCAGTCTGCTTTGCAGCCGTTTCTGCATATCAAAATACCCTGCTATAAAGAAAATAAAATTGTCCCTGTCTCCCAGTCTTCCTAAGCTAATGAAATCAAAATTGCCCAAAGGTGCTGCAAGAGATTGTATGATTGCTTTTTAAAAAAAATTACTTCCCCCCCAAAAAATTAAAACAAAGCATATTATCTAGAAACATATCATCCTTATTTTCCCCCTTTTTTCCTCCCTTCCCGCACAGAACCCACCCACCCCCACCCCCCGACTTCCCTCAGTTCCAGTCTTTGATTTCTCTAAAAATGCTGTTTTCTGCATGTTACACAGTTGTATAGATCCTCAAACTATATAAGTAATAATTATCATTAAAAAGTTTGTGAATGTTTATTCAAAACCAGCCAAGGAGTCCAGTTCACTTTGTTGCGTCTTCAAATACTTTGTAAAGGGTTCCCATTCATCTTTAAAGTCACAGTTATCCTTGTCCCGTAGCTTGTATGTCAGTTTTGCCAGTTCTGCATAGTCCATCAATTTTTCTTGCCATGATTCTTTAGTTGGGGTTTCTTCAGTCTTCCATCCTTGTGCTACTAAAACTCTCATGGCCGTATGATTGCTTTTTAAATTACAGGCCGTTCTTGGCACTGCCGGAAGCAGGATGGACTTACACGCGTCCCACTGATGCACAGTCTAAACAGAGAGTTGCCGGAAGTGTGTTTTGGACCATCACAGATATAAATAGCATTTACTAAACTTAAATACTTGCATCATTTGCATCTTTCTTTCTAAATACACACGGGCTGCCCTTTTGCTTACTCTCATTTCAGGTACGAAGTGGCTGTGCTTTTATGGTCCATGTGTGCCAGGATGAACACCAGCTGTTTGATGAGTTCTTCACAAAACCAACACCCAAACTGGAGTGGGTATCACACGTGACATCGCTTTTTGTTGCACGACACTGTTCACATAAGGATGTCTCGAACTCTTGTTCGTGCATTTGCTTCAGCATGCAAGCATAATCTTGGGGCGGGGGTGGGGGGCAACTGCAGGTCCTGCTCCCATGTCCCCCAACATGTGGGCTTCTATAAATGCTCACAACAGCCTTCAGAGGGTTCTAAGGGTCTGATGTTGTTCTAAGCCAGGGTTTCCCAAACTTGGGTCTCCGTCTGCTTTTGGACTACATTTCCCATCATCCCTGACTACTCATCCTGCTAGCTAGGGATGGTGGGAGTTGTAGTCCAAAAAAGCAGCTGGAGACCCAAGTTTGGGAAACCCTGTCTTAAGCACGTTCTGTTGGATATACCTCAAAAACCTCCCTGAAGACACAATGTGCAGCAGTTGTTCTAACTCATAAAGCAGGCATAGGCAAATTCCGGTCCCCAGATGATTTGAGACTACAATTCCCATCATCCCTGGCCACTGGTCCTGTTAGCTAGGGATGATGGGAATTGTAGTTCGAAAACATCTGGAGGGCCGGAGTTTGCCTATGCCTGTCATAAAGGGTTGAATCTGGACTTAGTCGTGCTTACAGTAGTCAGTAGATCCACTGAAATCAATGGGACTTAACTTAGTCGCAATTCAAGTCCTATTGATTTCTGTGCCTAAGTGTGGATCAGGTCCAAAGTATGGGGATTTGACTAGCCATCAGGATTGTTTTTGCTGAATGTACTTTTGTGTGGGTTTCTGTTCTTTGGCTCCTAATATAGCTCAGCTGGCTGCGTGTCTTCTATTGTAAAAAAAAAGAGTGTTCCTGCTCTGTTGCTTTTTGAAATATTTGGATCGGTGTCGAAAACTCTTCAGTCTCATAGCATGGAATGCCTTTTCCAAGTTTCCTGCCTTGTATAATGTTGCTTACATCATCTGAAAACAAAACATTAATTGCAGACTTGATCAGTCAGTCATATAAATTTTAATCTATTAGTCAAGTAGGCTGATGCCAGAGTTTTTAACAAGCTAATGTAATGAATCAATAAATGAAAATGTTTTAGCTGCTTATATGGCTTTTTAAACCATTGTTAGTGCTGGTTGACAGCATTTGATGTGAAGCAAAAGATCAAGTTCTCCTGATGTTAGTGATAGTCATGGCATGGCCCAGATTGTAAGTGATGTTGATTTAGCATGTCGTTTTCTACTGTCATAAGAGATGCATGTGTCAGTTTACACAATCTTTTATAGTCCATACTGGATTTGTTTTTCTGTCTTACAGTGAACTTTTGGAGAAGTTATGCCTGTCATTATATGATGTCTTGCGGCCACTGATCATCCATGTAATTCACCTAGAAACTTTGTCTGAGCTCTGTGGGATTCTCAAAAATGAAATGCTTGAAGATCACGTGCAAAACAACGGTAACTGTAAAATTAAGATTAAGAAACCAAATGCTTGATCAAAAGTTAGAACGTATCTTTTTAACAGACTGGAATGGCATATGCTTTAGAATATATAGGATTTACCACCGGTACCTTTTCAACTTAACACACATCTCTTAAATTGAAACGTCCAATGTTGTAATCTGATTTTACAGTGACCAAGTTCCATTAAATCCTGTTTGGACTGGTTCTGTCAGGCACGATTTCTTGCTTATTAAAGGAGCATGCATTATGCAGTTGGAAGTAAACAGTCCAGTGCTCAAAATCAAGTAAAGTGAGCTCTTGGAAACCAGCACATTCATGCACAGTCAAAATGTGAGCTGATAATAGCAGCGGAATAGAAGGAGAAGTTAGGCAACTACTTTTGCCTGGATGGGGTGGAGGCGTACAGGGGATCTGCTCCCTTTTTTGCTGCCTCCAAAGGAAATTTCCACATGGCAAAACGAATATGGAGGGCAAGGACTTTCAGTAGCCTAAGCTGATGTGATTCATTTCTCCCTCGTTTATTATGTGCATTGAGTTCCAGTTCGTTTGCTTACCATCTGCAAGTGTTCAGATGTGCTGAAGTTTACAAGGTGCGCAGTATTTCTAGCAAAACTGCCTTCTGATGTCAAGTAGATAATGTACCTATATTTCAGGTGAACGCATTTTATCACCCAGACACCCTTTTCCTAGAACTATTTGATTATAATGTTGTTTATGACTAGGTACAGTGGTACCTCTGGTTACGAACTTAATTCGTTCCAGAGGTCCATTCTTAACCTGAAACCGTTCTTAACCTGAGGTACCACTTTAGCTAATGGGGTCTCCCGCTGCCAAACATTTTTGTCCAGTGAATCCTGATTTTGGAAATCAGGATTCCACAGCCTAATCTCTGGTGTCCAAGAAAGACAACCAGTTTTTATTTTGTGTCTTTTGTTTCTCGCTTAAAGTGTATTTCAGCAGTTGCGTAGATGGGGTTGGATTTGCAGCAGCCAAAATCAAACTGTCTTTACATTAAAGTGTGAATTGTAAAGCTGAAAATCCATAATGATTTTAATCTGGATAGAAATTATTATACAGTATTATAACATCTATGTGCATTCACAACTATAATTATGCAGCGTCGGGGGGGGGAGTTATTATTAATTGTTCTTTTACTATGTTATGCATTTTTGTGTTTTTATATTGTAAACTGCCCTGTGATCCTCGGATGAAGAGCGATATAGAAATTTTAACAACAACAACACTAATTGTTTATTCATTCATTCATAATATTTTTTTTTGGCAAAGTAATAATCGTAAATAAATAAGAATAAAAATGTGCACCCCACCACCGAGACCATTCCATTGTAACTATCCAACCTCCCAAAATTTCAACACCTCTTGCGATGATTTGGCCAACTCTAATGGTTAAGGCTTTAGCCATAATCAGTGAAGTTCAATGAGAAGAAATTAATGCCTTTAATTTTGTGCCTTTTTCTAACAGTGGAACAGCTGGCTGCATTTGCTGCTGGAGTTAGGCAGATGTTGGAGGATGTTCAAGAGCGTCTGGTCTACAGAACGCATATCTACATTCAGACTGACATTATAGGCTACAAACCGGCCCCGGGTGATCTTGCCTATCCTGCTAAGCTGGAAATGATGGCGGTAAGAGTCTATGCATTTGTCTGATTCTGAACAGGCAAAACCCCTTGCATTCAACTAAGCTAGGAGTTCCCAAACTGTGCTCCAGCTATGGCAAATTTGTCTATCATTGGCTGCTAGCTACAATGGCTATGTACTGCCTTTACTTCATGGCTCTCTGGACCCATTGGTGGAGTTGCAAGTGGAGAGAGTGCTTTTGCCCACCTTTGGGGCATCACATAGCTATCCGGTTGACCACTGTAAGAAGAGGATGCTGGACTAAGTGGGCCTTTGACCTGCCTGATACAGCAGAGCTCCTTGATGTCTTTATGTTCATACCGTCTGGTGAAATCCAAAGACATGCCATTAGGGGAGCTCCTACGTTCTGGACAGCCAGATGTAGAGAACATGGCTAGGAGATGCACAAGGCCTTCCTGGTTTTTCTTCAATAGCTTCACCAAGCATTAGGAATGAAATTTAAGGTGTCCATTGAAGCAGCCTTCAGTAGAAGGGTGGTTCAAAGCATATAGTTACCCCAAATCCAGACACTACAGGTTCCCTCACTGTGCAATTGGAGGAGTGCTCTGTAAAGTCCCAGTGTCTAGACGACTAGATAAAGGTAAAGGGACCCCTGACCATTAGGTCCAGTCGTGACCGACTCTGGGGTTGCGGCGCTCATCTCGCTTTATTGGCCGAGGGAGCCGGCATACAGCTTCTGGGTCATGTGGCCAGCATGACTAAGCCACTTCTGGCGAACCAGAGCAGCGCATGGAAACGCCGTTTACCTTCCTGCCAGAGCAGTACCTATTTATCTACTTGCACTTTGAAGTGCTTTCAAACCGCTAGGTTGGCAGGAGCAGGGACCAAGCAATGGGAGCTCACCCTGTCGCGGGGATTCGAACCGCTGACCTTCTGATGGCAAGTCCTAGGCTCTGTGGTTTAACCCACAGCACCACCCATGTCCCTTGGACGACTAGATGGTGACAGATAAATACATCTGACCCTGGAACTTTCCTTTTACTCATTTGCCAATATCCACCCAGCTTAGGCTTGGCGATTATTCTTCTTTTCCATCAACATCAGGAAGAACTTTCTGACAGTAAGAGCTGTTTGACAGTGGAACGGTCTCCTTTGGGAGGTTGTGGGCTCTCCTCCTTTGGAGGTTTTGCAGCAGAAGTTGGATGGCCATCTGTCATGGATGCTTTAGCTGAGATTCCTACACTGCAGGGAGTTAAACTAGATGCCGCTCAGGGTCCCTTCCAACTCTTATGATTCATTTGGGGCAGACTTTCTAAACCTGGTGCCCTTTGGAGATTGTTGAATTTTGCTAATGGTACGGAAAGTTGGGACTGTGTTTCAGCAACTTTTGAGAGTCATCAGGTTGAAGGGTGGCATATAAGTCAAATAAATAAAAATTGATAGTTTGGGCTAGGCAGGTGTTGCTCTTGGTGACTGGCTTTGGAGAGGAAGGGAGGGAGGCTACCTCCCAAACAGGTATTTCTTCTAAATAGCCTGCCTAAATCGGATGGAGAGCACTCATTGACTGGACCACTATGTGGCACACTGGTGGAATAATTAACCGGTAAACAGATTATCGTTTCTGACACACATCTAAATAAAAAACATGAAAGGTGGGAGAAAATATTTCAAGGTGAACTTTCTCATTTGCCGGAGGCTTGTTAATTTGGCAAGCAAACCCAACTGCAATGATGTGGCTTCTTAGACACCCAGACCCTCGCGGAACTTATGGGAAATGCAGGACTGATTTTCCAGTCGAAACAGAAACTATGTGATACTTGACTCCACTTTCCAAGAGGTTCCCCCCCCCCCCCAATAACTGCCGTGATGTGTCAGTTGTAGCATTTCCCCCCCACTTTCCTCCTGAGGAGTTGGACTAAGCATTGTTCTCTTGCAGATCAGTGGGAAATTCTATGATGGAAATATAATAATATAAATTTGTTTGTTTTGCTTTTCCTGGTAGCAAATTGCCCAAAGTCTAAAAGACGAAGAGAGAAAGTTGCCTGCAGATCCTTCTTTTTCAGATATGAAGCTGGAAGATTCGGAGAACTGCAGTGTGGTAAAAAATGGTGTGTGGTTATTTGAAGTAATTTGTACTTGTAGAAACATGCTAATAATGACAACTGTATTTGCTTATGGCTTTTCAATATTTGGAGAGATCTCAAGAGAGAAGCAAACATAAAATGAAGTATTTTATATTTTAACAAGGACCAGCTTTTGGGTATTTTAAATATCATTCTTGAACCTGTAGTTGTAATTACTTGTGACTGTTATATTCTGAAAGGTTTTTTTGGTTATGATTCCTATTACAAAGGGGTTGCAAAGAGGCATGACAAGATAGATTTCTTGGTTTCGGCCTAGCTGTGGAATCATGAAGACGTTATCCAGTAGTCCTGGGGCAGTCTTTACTTCCTGGGGGTATCTTTTTTTACACAACACAACAAAACAAAAGATGCACATTAAGTCCCTTGGCTCACTTACACTCCCTTTCCCCTCAAAGCTTCCTGGTTCCTACTTGGAACCCACAAAATGATTATCCATTCAGTGCAGATTAGTGCGATGGATCAAGTATGAATAAAAAAAATTGAACTGGTTCAGTCAGTACTGAGTTAATAAATAAATACATAAATAAATCTCAGCAGAAACACTCCTCACATTGCTGGTACCCAAGCAGGGGGAGATCTATTGTCACACATCCCCAAAATTGCTGTATTAGGGTCTGAGGAGACTGACTTGCCTGCTTTTCGTGTTGGGACAGTCTCCCTATCCATGTTAAGATAGCAAGGGAAGCAGGTAAAGGTAAAGGGACCCCTGACCATTAGGTCCAGTCGTGACCGACTCTGGGGTTGTGGCGCTCATCTCGCTCTATAGGCCGAGGGAGCCGGCGTACAGCTTCCGGGTCATGTGACCAGCATGACTAAGCCGCTTCTGGCGAACCAGAGCAGCGCACGGAAATGCCGTTTACCTTCCCGCTGGAGCAGTACCTATTTATCTACTTGCACTTTGATGTGCTTTCGAACTGCTAGGTTGGCAGAAGCAAGGACCGAGCAACGGGAGCTCACCCTGTCGTGGGGATTCGAACCGCCGACCTTCTGATCGGCAAGTCCTAGGCTCTGTGGTTTAACCCACAGCACCACTCACGTCCCTAAGGGAAGCAGGAGTCAGTGGCAAATAGTATTCTTGGATGTCTGAATTGTCAGCATCCAATTTAGACATTCTGAGTCTGGTGGAATCGCCTAATGGTTCTTTTCTCTCTTTTTAGTGCTTTTGTACTATTGAATGTTTTCCCTTGTGTTTTCATATCTTGCTTTTCACTTGCCTAAAACGGCTTACCTTGCTCCAGGCTCAGTCTGGGACCTGAGAGGAAATTTCTTCCCTTGGTGGTTTTGCTGGAAGCCTTTCTTGTCAACCCAAGGGAGGCACTTCTCGATAGTATACTTTCTGATACTGTATTATGTTCTCTGATGCTGTATTGGATATCAAGGCTGCCAACCGCAGCTGTCAGGTGCAAACTGTTACAATACAAAGTGCAAATACGTCAACCTAAAGACACCCCTTTTTGATAATAAGGGGGGGCATGTCTGTAATTGATTACCATAAAGTTTATCATTGCATATTAAGTTCTGTAGTAGCAAGCCTTGCATGTGATCTTTGTGTTCCAGATCCATTGGAATCCTGCCATCCTAGACTTCATGCTACAATTTCACCCGCAGATCTGCATGGCATGTGGTACCCTACTGTGAGAAGAACGCTTGTGTGCCTTTCCAAGCTTTACAGATGTATTGATGTAGGTATAGAATTATGTCTAGCCTGGAAAATAAGGCCGTCTGTGGCTGCTAACCAAGACGGCTTTGTTTTACCTTCATGCCTGGAGACCTTGTATCAAATCCTGATTAAGCAAGACCCATAGAAAACTCCAAAGAAACTCTATACAAAAGAAACTCTATAACCTTAGCAGTCAATACCAGTAAAGATCATAACGCGCAATTGAAATTTGTGCTCCAGAAGTGAGGGGTTGGGGTGGAGGAGATGCACAATGTTGCTCATGTTGGTTTTAACCATCATGGGACTGAAACTGCCTTGGTTGTGCTGGTTGATAATCTCCGGCAGGCTAGGGACAAAGGTGAGAGCTGTTTCCTAGTTCTGCTGGATCTCTCAGCGGCTTTTGATACCATCAACCATAACATCCTTCTGGACTGTCTAGAGGGGCTGGGAGCTGAGGGCACTGTTATACGGTAGTTCTGCTCCTTTCGCCTGGGCCGTGTTCAGAAATTAGTGGTGGGGGATGAGTGTTCAGACCCCTGGGCTCTCACTTGTGGCGTGCCTCAGGGTTCCGTCCTCTCCCCCATGCTTTTTAATATCTATATGAAGCCGCTGGGAGAGATCATCAGGGGGTTTGGGCTGGGTGTTCATCAGTATGCAGATGACACCCTTCTCTACCTCTCTTTCAAATCAGAACCAGTGAAGGCGGTGAAGGTCCTGTGTGAGTGTCGGAAGGCGGTTGGAGGATGGATGGCGGCTAACAGATTGAGGGTGAATCCTGACAAGACAGAAGTACTGTTCTTGGGGGACAGGAGGCGGTTGGGTGTGGAGGACTCCCTGGTCCTGAATGGGGTAACTGTGCCCCTGAAGGACCAGGTGCGCAGCCTGGGAGTCATTCTGGACTCACAGCTGTCCATGGAGGCACAGGTCAATTCTGTGTCCAGGGCAGCTGTTTACCAGCTCCACCTGGTACGCAGGCTGAGACCCTACCTGCCCGCAGACTGTCTCACCAGAGTGGTGCATGCTCTGGTTATCTCTCGCTTGGACTACTGCAATGCGCTCTATGTGGGGCTACCTTTGAAGGTGACCTGGAAACTACAACTAATCCAGAATGCGACAGCTAGACTGGTGACTGGGAGTGGACGCTGAGATCATATAACACCGGTCTTGAAAGACCCACACTGGCTCCCATTACGTTTCTGAGCACAATTCAAAGTGTTGGTGCTGACCTTTAAAACCCTAAACGGCCTCGGTCCAGTATACCTGAAGGAGTGTCTCCACCTCCATCGTTCTGCCCGGACACTGAGGTCCAGTGCCGAGGGCCTTCTGGTGATTCCCTCGCTGCGAGAAGCCATGTTACAGGGAACCAGGCAGAGGGCCTTCTCGGTAGTAGCACCCACCCTGTGGAACGCCCTCCCACCAGATGTCAAAGAGAAAAATTACTACCAAACTTTTAGAAGACATCTAAAGGCAGCCCTGTTTAGGGAAGCTTTTAATGTTTAATAGGTTATTGTATTTTAGTGTTTTGTTGGAAGCCGCCCAGAGTGGCTGGGGAAACCCAGCCAGATGGGTGGGGTATAAATAATAAATTATTATTATTATTATTATTATTCATGGTCAACTAGTCATTATATGTGGGCTTTGGTCATATGTGCCGCTGTTGGAGGAATTCACACTTTTCTTAGTGTCCGACCAGTGCAAGCATTTATCCTTCCTCTGTGCTCTGTTTTGAATGTTCTCCTGACCCTCCAGAGCAGATTGTGGGAGGTGTGGGGGCACACAGGGGAAGGAGAGGGGCAGAAATCCTGTTTCGCTACTGGAAACGCTTGCATTGGTTTCTTCTAGCTTGCCTGGTTAGTTGAATCCTGGCCCAGTGTCTTTGAATTGGCCTATGCAGCTTTGTTTTAAGACATAATATATACCTGTTTACTCTTCCAGTAACATTGTACCTGAAATGTTGTGGAAGCTTGCGATTAAAACAGCCTTGTTTGGGATGCTGAAAGGTCTTTCAGAATGGCTGCAGTGAATAGACAATATAGCATTAAATCGCTGGCTCTCCCAGATCACCCAGATTTGCAATACCCCTGTTCACAAACAAGATCAGACACATTCTGTGACTTCCTATGAGAATGAATGATGAGCATGACTCCATTTGTGTTAAATGCCTCTTTCTGTGGCTGCATCCAGTGCTTTGGGGAGGGGGGGCAGGGGTACACATACCCCTAAACATTTTGTGAATCAAAGTTTGGCCTCATTGAGGGGCAGTATTTCAATATGAGTGGGAAAATGAGAGTACTCCTAAACATTTTTTTAAGAAAAACTGGATGCACCAATGTAATAAATTCTGAAGTTCTCAATACAGTGGTACCTTGGGTTACATATGCTTCAGGTTACATACGCTTCAGGTTACAGACTCCGCTAACCCAGAAATAGTGCTTCAGGTTGAGAACTTTGCTTCAGGATGAGAACAGAAATCGTGCTCCGGCAGCACAGCAGCAGCAGGAGGCCCCATTAGCTAAAGTGGTGCTTCAGGTTAAGAACAGTTTCAGGTTAAGAATGGACCTCCGGAATGAATTAAGTACTTAACCCGAGGTACCACTGTACCTTCTTGGAGTCATTGTATGTTTCACGTATTGCATAAATTGTGGCTATTGTACATATTATCTTTTCTAAATCCAGTGTCTTGAGGAACTATGGGAAAATACAAGTGAAGCATGGGATGATAGTGCTTAAATTTGCAAATTGAGGGTGCCAGCTTTAGACGACCTTCCTCAAGGATAAAGGCCTGACCTTTATGAACATTTGCATTCTTTTTCTTCTCCAGAGGGCAGTCTTCCAAGGATTATCGCAGGAGGCCTTATCTGCCTGCATACAGTCTTTGCTAACAGCGGCAGATTCCATTTCTAAAAACAAGGTTGGGTAATGTTCTTTTGTGTTGGAGGGATGTAATAATACAAGTTTTCATATTGCGAATGTGTAATATTTTCATATAAAGAATGTCTCTATAAACTTTTCCTAGGAGTGCACTGCACCAAATTTGAGACGGTTTTGAAAAATATTTGAAGTGCATGTACTTCCGTTTTTCCTTAGGCATAAGCCTAGCCTAGCCGCTATTTCATTCAAATGGGGAAAGAACAGTGATGAGATTTTCCTTTTCAAAAAAACAAAGACAGGTGGAGATGTGGGATATTTCTGGTGGTGATTGAGGTTGGCAAGAAAGGATATGAGTGGGGTAACTGTGAAAGCGTGGGGAAGCTGAAGAAAAAGCATATTTGATAGCATGGTGATGTTTTTCATTCAGCAGTATAAATTAGCTAAAATGACTTAAAAGGTAAAGGTAAAGGGACCCCTGACCATCAGGTCCAGTCATGGCCGACTCTGGGGTTGCGACGCTCATCTCACTTTATTGGCCGAGGGAGCCGGTGTACAGCTTCCGGGTCATGTGGCCAGCATGACTAAGCTGCTTCTGGCAAACCAGAGCAGCGCACGGAAACACCGTTTACCTTCCCGCTGGAGCGGTTACCTATATATCTACTTGCACTTTGATGTGCTTTCGAACTGCTAGGTGGGCAAGAGCAGGGACCGAGCAATGGGAGCTCACCCCATCGTGGAGATTCGAACCACCGACTTTCTGATCGGCAAGTCCTAGGCTCTGTGGTTTAACCCACAGCACCACCCACGTCCCTTCAGACTTAAAATGTAGGTGCTTACAAATTTGCATGTGATGATTCAAAAATAGAACAATTCAATGGCAAAAGAATCCAAACATGCATAATGCTGTTAGGGACTCCCAACTACTTTTGCAGCGATCTCTCTGCCCTCTTTTAGGCAGTGGTGCATAGCACAAATATGAATCGCTGCCTCTCTGTAGCGTGTTTGTAAGAGACATGTATATGATTTAATGGGAAGTAGGTAGGTATCCTAGGATACAAAGGGGATGAAATTGCTTTTTTATAAGTGGACAACCGGTTGACCAATGTCTATCCCTTTTCTCTTTATTTTTTACATTAATTTTTTGTTACAATTTAGACCCAGGTTGACGGACAGCTTTTCTTAATAAAACATCTTTTGATTCTTCGTGAACAAATTGCTCCTTTCCACACTGAATTCACCATTAAGGAAATTTCCCTGGACCTTAAGAAAACTAGAGGTACTGCATTGTGCTGACTGGTCAGTCTGAGTGGGTCTGCCCCTCCTCCGATGTGCCAGCCACGAGGGTTGAGGGCCAAGCTACATGTTGCATCGGAGAGCCGTTACCAGGTTTCCCAATATCTTTTTCTTTCTTTAAAAGCAACCACAAGCACCCCTCAAATTGGATCAGAGCAGCGACATTTGGAGGAAGGGGGTTTAGCTCTTGCACCGTATCCCTGATCAAAATCGACCCGTTCCGAAAGTTGCTATTATCTTTTTGGTGGAGATTTCTCTGCTTTTCTTATTCATTCATACAGTGGTACCTCAGGTTAAGTACTTAATTCATTCCGGAGGTCCGTACTTAACCTGAAACTGTTCTTAACCTGAAGCACCACTTTAGCTAATGGGGCCTCCTGCTGCTGCCGGGCCGCCGGAGCACAATTTCTGTTCTCATCCTGAAGCAAAGTTCTTAACCTAAAGCTCTATTTCTGGGTTAGCGGAGTCTGTAACCTGAAGCGTATGTAACCTGAGGTACCACTGTACTTTTCAGGTTTATACATTTCAGTGATTTTACAATCATTTTGACATTTCAAAAACTTGGCTTCCATCCCCCTCTTTCTGTGGTTCCTTAAATTTGTTTTTAATATCTGCTGCATATCCAAATTAACTTAATTTGTTCATTTATTCATCTTCTTTCAATATATACTCTTACAAAACTGCAGGTTGTTACAATAATCCTGCCAATGTTTCTATCTGTTTATAATTTATAGTTTGTAATGGACCGTATTTTTCGCTCTATAAGATGCACCAGACCACAAGACGCACCTAGTTTTTGGAGGAGGAAAACAAGAAAAAAAAATCTGAATCTCAGAAGCCAGAACAGCAAGAGGGATCGCTGCGCAGTGAAAGCAGCAATCCCTCTTGCTGTTCTGGCTTCTGGGATAGCTGCGCAGCCTGCATTCGCTCCATAAGACGCACACACATTTCCCCTTACTTTTTTGGAGGGAAAAAGTGAGTCTTATAGAGCAAAAAATATGGTATCTTTTTGGTGTCAATTTCAATCAGGGAAGTGGTGCAGGAAGAAAGACTCGAAACCTCCCAATGCTACTGGCCTGAAGCAATTCAGGGTCGACATGGCTGATTTTATGTAAAGGAGAAAGTGTGGGAGATCCAAGAATGGCTTTTCCATGCAGCCTGTTGTTTGTCCTTCTGTTTGTTTATGTTCACCTGCAATCGCCTGCATGCTGCTCTGCATTCTCTTGCATTGAACTAACTGGAGCTCAGCCTTTCTTTTGAGGTCCGGATGGGAAAGTTCCCGAAAAGCCTTTCATATTCCTTCACATCAGTTCTGGTGGTTTTCTTTTTTAAAAAAAACTAAACTCAAATCCTCCTAACTCTGATCTGTTAAAAATGGTACCTGAGTATCCTGCTTTCCATTCACATAATGTTTTTTCTATGCTAGCGTGCTCCACCAAGGGACAGAGTCAACAGGCAGGTGCCAATATAAGGGGAGGGTTGCTGCTGGCTGGTGGTTGCTATAGCTTCCTGCTCTAACCCTTCTTTGCAGCTGGTAGCATTCTGCGCCATCTTGACCTCTTCTGAAAGCAGAGGAATTGGGTCTTTGGCTTTAGCAGACTTGGTGCAGGATTATCAGGTGTGATCCCTGCTATGTCCAGAGGCTTTAGAAATAAATAGGTTTTTAGAAAAGCTAAGTATCTAGTAAGCTTCGTACTGTACAGTATTTTCTCTGCTGGTGGAGGAGGGTACCCAGAGGGAGTTACTGCCTTTCTCTTGAGGCAGAGCTTCTGCAGATTAAGCATCCTATTCTCCTCTTTTGTGGAGGAACCACCTCTTGAGATGGTGGAGTTTCTCCCAGCTTCAGCTTTCAGGCTATTTTGGACCTTTTTCTTCTTCCTTATTTCCCCAGCACTTAGTGATGGTGGAAAGAGATTCTTTGATTCCTGTGTTGTTTTTTAAAAAAAAAGGTTGGTTGAAAGGGGACTTTCCTCAAGCTAGGTGAGGGGGGCTCTGCTGCCAGCATCTACAGTTCTTCAATTCTTTGGCACTCTGGGTACCCTCTTAACTTAGCTTGGAGGTTTTTAAGCAGAGCATGGATTGCTATCTGCCTTGGGTGATTCCTGCATTGCAGAGGGTTGGACTAGATGACCCCCAGGGTCCCTTCCAACTCTACAATTCTGTGATTCTATGAGTCTATCCACTGATGAGAAATAAAATTTACGGTAAATTTGAGTTTTCTATTCCATTTCCTTCTGCAGATGAGCTTTGCTTTGTTTAATGATTGAAGCTTAAAACGCACAAAAATTACTTGCCTAGAACAAATCAGGAAGCTCTTTTTTTTTTTACTTAGAAAATTGACTGCGAAAGCTATTTGCATTGTATAATTAAAACAAATGTGCTTATCAAATGTCACTTGGACAAAATATACAAAGAAAAGAATACGCCGAGGTGTGTATTATTCTTGCAAATACATTTTAAAGCAAGTGGGAAAATGGAGGCGAGGTAAGAAAAGGAAGGAATACTTGAATCCTCAAAATGTTATTGCCTATGAGCCAGTGAATGGGGATTAGAAATACCTTCTATCTGTTCTGTCTCTGTAGTTTGAAGCAGTTACGTTGCTTGTCTGCTAATATGCTACTATCTTGCTTTGAACAAACTTGCTCTTATAACTAACAATTCTACTCATTGCAGCTGAACATGGATGAGACCTCTGTCGTGTTAAGTAGTTTCTAGTTAACAAGCAAAAGGGTAAATATGTCCTGCTGGTGTCCTATGCTGGCTGGTATATAATTTTATTCTGAGCATTTATTAGATGAATAAAAATTTTATACCAGCCAGTTAATAATGGAAGGTGGTAAGTAACCGAAATGCGTACCTGTCTCCCCCTCCTCCAAGCTGAAAATGCATGAGAGTGAGTGGCAAATATACAGTTATAGTGAAGTATTGTTGGTCACAAGAAAGCATTATTCTGCATCTTCTTGGAGACCAAGGAGGAGAAGAGCTTGTCTCAGCAGGAGAGGGAGACTCCCTGGATTCTTCAGTAGCCTCTTGACCACCCTCCTCTGCTTCAGCCTCTGAGTCTGAACTGCTCCCTCCCACAGGCTCTTCCTGCTCACTAAACCCCGTTGCCCTTTCAGCATCCAGCCCCTCCTCCTGATCTTCTCCCTCTGACTTCTCAGTGTCCCACCACCAACCCCCTGACTCAGAGCCTTCCTCTTCTGGGGTTTCCCTTGCGGCGGGTTCCCTGGATATTGCCTCCCACCACTCCTCTTTGCCCAGCCAGTTCCTGACATCAGCTACACCCAGACTTAGGGGAAGGAGGCTGGAGTTGTCAAGGGCAGTGAACCTGAGGGAACCTGTTGAAAGGGTTTTCCCCCCGTGGGGAAAAAGGGGGTGGAGATCTAAGAAAGAGGGCACCGGAAGCTGAGCAGGTGTGTTTGGTGCTAGGCTGAAGGCTACCAAAGTGTTCCAGTCTGCTAGCGCAGTCAGTTGATTTGCAGAGTGCTGCCTTGGCTTTAGTGGGTATAAGAGTTTCAGAGTCTGGGGGGTTAGGATGCTCTCTTCTCCCTATCGGTGGAGAATGGAGGCCAGTGCTGACAGTCTAGCATCCTCGTATTTGATTGCTAGCTTTTGACAGCACTGCAGCCGTAGACAGACAAGATGGGAATTAAGCGATAGAAATGGTTGCATTCTGGCAACATGCTCATACACCATGGGCTTGACCCCAGCTGCCATATATTGTACTGTGAATTAAACCCATTTCCCATGGGAAGGTTTTTTTGTTTATCATGGACAGAATTGCACTTAAGAGAGAGAGAGAGAGCCTGAGAGAATTCGTTACTTGCTAACGAAAACTTGCTTTGTATATATCCGCAGCTTAGAAAAATAAGACGACGTTTGCATAACCAAACTATTTATATTAGACCGTATTTGTATTCCGTTTTGTTCTGGATTATTATTATAGGGTATTTATTAGCTGATAAATTTTGAAACAGAAATGTTCTTCAGGAGATCTGCAAAAGATCTAGTATTCAGACAACGAATAATACGGGGGTTTTTTTTGAGCAAAATCCAAATAAATTTAGCTCCAGTAAAAATATAAGTGAAAGTGCTAGTCTCATTTTTTAAGGAAGTTTCAATTATTATTTTTGCCAATTAATTTTTATTAGTTTTCATCAATTAAAATAAAATTACATTTGAAGCAGGTTTATACAGCAAAATCAGACCTTTAAAACATCCTTGAGCACTTTTACTCTATAAAGTTTTTCTACTGCCTTCCTTGAAGCCTCTGCAACTGCTTTTAGCTCTCAGACCTCTTGATGGAGGTTCTGGGGAAATTGTGATCTGAAAAGACTCCCTTCTTCTTGTTGCCATCTTGTCAAAGTGGGCACAGGTAAATAGTCGTCGTTCCCCCCGGAAGTGTGTCACCAATAACCAGACCTGGGTAATATGGTAAGTCTGTGTCCAAAAAGCAAGTGGGGCTTCTCAGCTGTGTAGATGGTGTCAGAGTCAATATATTGACAAGATTTTAAAAATAATCAGCTTTCCTACATAAACAGTAGCAAATCACAGTATATAAAATGCCTTACCTTAATATCAATGGAAGCAGAGACTGGCCAGTTTAAAACTTCTCGAAAGATGAATGTATGATTTTATGTAATAATGCAAAATTGGCAAACTACTTTGTTCTTGTGAAACCAATATATAGATGAGCTGATGTGCTAAGAATGTAGTCCTCAATAATATATTGCTAATTATAATATACATAAATCTGTATTCATCAGGTTCAAATAAATCTGTTTGTGTTTTAAACACACAGGAATTACAGTTTGTAGACTTCCTATTTGCATATTCAAAGTACACATTCTAGACACATGAAGGATCCATGGGATAATTTTTGAGAATTCATAGAAAACTCTATACGGTTTTCATATTCTTGGGTCAAGGGAGAACAAGGGCAGAAGCAGAACACTCCTTAAAATAATGTGAACTTTATGCAAGCGGTTTTGTTTCCACAGATGCTGCCTTTAAAATCCTGAACCCTATGACCGTTCCACATTTCTTTAGGCTTAGTAGCAACAATGCGCTGATACAGTTCCTGCTGGAGGTAAAGAGCATTTGTTAACGGTGCATTTGAAAAAAGTCTAATTTTTTGAAGTGTAGCCATTTCAGAAGAGTTGAGAAAGGGAGAAACTACTGTGTCTGTGTTCCAGGGTACTCCGGAAATCAGAGAGCACTATATTGACTCTAAGAAGGATGTCGATCGACACTTGAAGTTTGCCTGTGAGCAGTTCATTCAGCAGCAAACCAAGCAGTTTGTGGAGCCTCTGGAGGAATTCCTGGCGAAGGTGTGCGAGATCCTATGGTAGCACCATTGGTATCTTAAGCGGCTGTGTTTGGTATATTTATGTTGGTTGGATTGTTGACAGAAAGGAACATAGACATTGTACAGGGAACATCTATCCCCAATTCATTAGAGAACTGTAATGTCATACCTACACCCTTGTGCAAATTAATTGAAACAAACAGTGTAGTTTATTGTACAAAACTCACATATACGTGTACAAAACTAACATATACGTATGTTCATAACGGATATGACCTCCGCTATTTTTAAGCCGCATTTGAACACGATTTGGCATGGAGTCTACTAGTTTTGAACAGTCACTGTTGATTTTCAGATCCCTGTACAACACTTCAATCAGCGCCTGAATGAGCTCTTCCATAGTCGTACAGTCTACAGCACGGAGACGACTTTTGCATATAGCCCACAAATTCTCAATGGGATTTATGTCCGGGGAATTCCCTGGCCAATCAAGTACCTGTATTTGCTGCTCTGTCATAATTTCTTCACCACTTTCGATGTGTGACAGGGGGCTAGGTCCTGCTGCAATATCCCAGTATACCTCTTTTCCAGCTCTGGAATAACTCTCTTTCATAGAACCTCAATATATTGTGGCGAGCGCATCATTCCTTCTGTTGGCTGCAGGCTTCTGACTCCATAATGATCAGCTGACTTTTCGTGTTTGTTTTGAGTACAGGATTACGAGTAAGATAGAAAACATGCTTTGTTCAATTAATTTGCACGAGGGTGTAGGTTGCCTTATATGAATACATTGGTATATCTAACTGAAAGGAGAATAACCTGTGGCCCTCCCAGTGTTCAGGGATGATGGGAGCTATAGCTCAGTAACGTCTGCAGGGCCACGGGCTCAGCAACCTCAATGCCATTCAATATGTTATCAACACAAGCATTCCTGAGTCAGCTGTACTGAGATGCCTTTCGGCAACACTCACACCTAGAAAAAGAGGTGCCAGAACTCGCAAGGAACACCTCCCTTGTTCTCTTATACAGTCGTGCCTCAGAAGTCGAATGGAATCCATTCCGGAAGTCTATTTGACTTCAAAAATGCTTGGAAACCAAAGCGTGTCTTCTGATTGGCAGCAGGAAGCTCCTGCAGCCCATCAGACATTCGGCTTCCAAAAACAGTTCACAAAACAGGACACTCACTTCCGGGTTTGCGGCGTTCGGGAGCCAAAACGTTCAAGAACTAAGCTGTTTGAAAACCAAGGTACGACTATAATGGCAACGGCACCCACCTGAGAGGTGCCGGAACTGAGTCCCGGCGACTTCTGGCTGAAAAAAAGCCCTGTAAGTGATAATGGGGAATAAAGATAAACCAAAGGCTTGTTTTGCTGTGACACTACTACTTCTATAGGCAGGGACACGGGTGGCGCTGTGGGTTAAACCACAGAACCTAGGACTTGCCGATCAGAAGGTCGGCAGTTCGAATCCCTGTGACAGGGTGAGCTCCCATTGCTCGGTCCCTGCTCCTGCCAACCTAGCAGTTCAAAAGCATATCAAAGTGCAAGTAGATAAATAGGTACTGCTCCAGTGGGAAGGTAAACGGCATTTCCATGCGCTGCTCTGGTTCGCCAGAAGCGGCTTAGTCATGCTGGCCACATGACCCGGAAGCTGTACGCCGGCTCCCTCGGTCTATAGAGCGAGATGAGCGCCCCAACCCCAGAGTCGGTCACGACTGGACCTAAAGGTCAGGGGTCCCTTTACCTTTACTTTACTACTTCTATGCCTGTATAAACTGGACATGTTAAGTCCTAATTGAAATTCCTCCAACCTAATGAGAGTGCCAGCTAGCTCATCTCTCTCACCCCAGCAGCTTTTCTCGTTTTGAGCCCTAAAGGGGGCGGGAGGGGATAAAGAAACTAGTCTCAATTTAGCCTTTGAAAAATTGTGTTTTCCTCACTGCATTCTCTTCCAGTTTCTGACTGGATACGACTTTGGGAGAGGCGTTTGAAGAAAGCCCAAACAGTTGCCTTTTATAACCTGCTTCCTTTGGAAGGGTTCCCGGGCGCTCTTTCGTAACTACCGAAAAGCATTGTGAAATTGCCACTTCTAGTTTTAATAGCTGCAAGCCCTAATAGCTAGATTTTCTTGGCAAGTGGCTTCTGAGATCTGGCTCAGTCTGGTAATTTTCTGTGAAGCAGCAAGTTTGAATCTCAGCCTCCGTTGAGAATTACTTTGGTGGCCTTCGCATAACTCAGCCCAGATGCAGTACGGGAATAATAATTCTGGCCTATCTTATATGGTTGTTATAGCTATTGCTGGGGTTCTGCATATAAAGACCTTTAAACACTTTACAATACCAACATGACTGCTAAGCACGACATAGCATTTGATGCATTGCTTGTTTTCCATCTCATTACTTTAGGTTTCTGCTCTGAAGGCAATGGCTACTCAAGGCGGTCCTAAATACAGCCTTTTGCAGCAACCTTGGGCACAACCAGGTAATCTCTTTAGGTGCAATCTCACAGCCCTTTGTACATGCTTACCTTTCTTTTCTGCCTTCTGTGAGATGGAGCTGGTTTGGCTCACAGACTTCGCCATTCTGGATCTTTTTTTTATTTTAAACGTTAATTTGTAAAAGTTTAATTCAGGGGGGTAACTATTCAAAGGGTTGACCGTTACCCATCTTTAACGAACCTCACTTAACCGCTTTGGCTTGTATCCAAGCTGAATGGAAAATAAGTAGAATACAGTAAGTGTCTCCCGTACACATGCAACAAAAGGTCCCATGGAGGACAGAAAATCCATTTGTTTGCCATACGCTCCATGCCCAGCATACATAAGGAAGACAGCTTGCCGGCAAAAGGAGTGTTTGCCAAGGGAGAGGTCCTCTGTCTCGAGTAACTTTGCATCCTTCTGCAAACATTTGCTGCTCTTGTCCACCTTTCCTCTGGTGCACTTGCAAATATTGCTTTCCCTGCTTCCTGATACCTGGTGCTTGGGAAAGCCACAGGCAGAGCCTTTAACCTTGAAAGCACAATACAGTGGTACCTCAGGTTAAGTACTTAATTCGTTCCGGAGGTCCGTTCTTAACCTGAAACTGTTCTTAACCTGAAGCACCACTTTAGCTAATGGGGCCTCCTGCTGCCACCGTGCCGCCGGAGCACAATTTCTGTTCTCACCCTGAAGCAAAATTCTTAACCCGAGGTACTATTTCTGGGTTAGCGGAGTCTGCAGCCTGAAGCATCTGTAACCTGAAGCATCTGTAACCTGAAGCGTATGTAACCCGAGGTACCACTGTACTGTATTGGCCCGAATATAAGCTGCACCTGTGTTGCTGGCAGCCTTTCCCCTTCCTCACTCTCTCCCTTCCCGGCCTTGGGGGAGAGGATGCGGGGCGGGCGCGGCTTTGCCGCACTCCTGGCGCTGTGTGTCCCGCGCTCCTGGCTGCATGCCGTAAGGCCGTGAACACAAGCCGCACTTGTAACTTTTCATGGTCGGAATTTGGAGGGAAAGTGAGGCTTATATTCAGGCCAATATGGTAAGTGGGAAGGATGACAATATTGTGCAGTAGCAGGCATCTCCTCCCCACCACTGTGTGCATGGCAGTTGTATCATTGCGCACGCGCACACACACACACACACACACACACATACACACAGTGGTGTGACTTTTTAGGTTGCAAATCCAGGAGGCCCTTTCTCAATGAGTTTTGTTGCATTGTGACTGCCATTGTTCTCTTCCCACTAACAAATTACTTTTGGTTAACCGAAGGTGTATGATGTAGTCCATGGGTAGGCAAACTAAAGCCGGGGGCCAGATCCGGCCCAATCGCCTTCTCAGTCGGGCCCACAGACAGTCCGGGAATTAGCGTGTTTTTACATGAGTAGAATGTGTCCTTTTATTTAAAATGCATCTCTGGGTTATTTGTGGGGCCTGCCTGGTGTGTTTACATGAGTAGAACGTGTGTTTTTTATTAAAATGCATCTCTGAGCTATTTGTGGGGCATAGGAATTAGTTCTTTTTTTTTTTCCAAAATATAGTCTGCCCCCCCCCACAAGGGACCAGTGGGAGGGACGGTGGACCAGCCTGCTGCTGAAAAAGTTTGCTGACCCCTGATGTAGTCAGTTTGTGGAACTAAGGTTAAGGCCTGGTCAGTTACTGGATGGAAGGCCATCTCATTTACACCTTAGTAAGGAAGGAAAGGCAGGATATAAATGCAATTTATATGTATTGCTTTGATGTTCATCCCATCATTTCCAGAAGGATTAGGGTTTGAGGGGTCACTAGGGGCGCATCGGAAGATGGCTGACAATAACATCTCTCCGACCCACAGGAGGTAATTAGGAGGCTGTGATGGGAGTAAATAGCCTCCCTACCCCCCCCCCAGGATTGTGGGGGGGGGGCTGCCTTTGCCTGCTGTGCCCTATACCACCCCCAAATTTGTGGGGATGGGGGCACTAAGCAGAATGCCCTTCTGTGGATTTCGGTGCTGCTGGACGCTGTCTCTGATCCGCGCCGCTAGCTGCAAGAACTTCAAAAGGATTAATTAGGAAGAAGCGAATGCACATATTTCAAGGAAGGAGGGGGAGTAAAGACTGCTAACTGAAGAGTTCTCTGATAAACAAGAAGAGTTGGAGGAACAAGAATCAATCATGAGAAGATATGCCAAGACTCGGTATGGCAAAGGGACTGGATGGGGGAGGGGGAAAAAACTTTCCTTTCTTTCCTCTATGTGATTAAATAAGAATCCGCACCCCTTACAAGTCAGAAATGCCGTTTTAATGACTTAAGCTGTGGATTTACGACTGTGTGGAGATGAATTTTCTAACCAAAGCATGTTTTAAGAAGAGCGTGGAAAGTTTAAGAGCTTTGGAATGACGCAGTTAAAAATACCGTCGCCATGATGGCCAGCTCTGTCGGAGGACTTGAGTCTGGGAGGAGGAAAAGAGATGTTTTTATATTGTGAGTGACTCCTCAGTGGGACTTAAGAACGACAGATCCTGAGATTAATGATGGAAAGAGCGATGTTATTTATGAAAGTGATGATATATGGAAACCATCTCGATATGAGGATTGGACGAACGGAAAAATTCACACAGGATATAATTGGTGTTTATCTGCTTAAGGAGATTATCAGAAGAGATCATAAAGAAAAAAAGAAAAAATATACGAACAAGATGAGATGTGGAAACAGCAAGATAAGACTGGATAGAATTATGAACTTTATTTGGACTGATTTGGACATTAACGCAGTAGCAAGAAGATGATCAGAATCCCCCTTCGGATCTTGAAATATGGGTCCCCTCAACAAAAATTTAAAATTCGGCTTTGTAATTCGGAATTTATGTGATGTGATTTGATTTGATTTGATTGGTCGGTTAATAAAAATTATTTAAAAAAAACTAAACAGAAGGATTAGGGTTGCTTGCAAATATATATTTTACAGAAACTGACACAGCAGTTTTAGATATCTGCAATGTATGGAAAGAAATGTATGCATTGCAGGGAGCTGGGCTTGGGGGTCCCTTTCCAGCTTTGCAGTTCTGTGATTCTGTGACGAGCATGTAGCAGGGCAGGTGCTTGCTTCGTATAAGAGACAGCCAATAAACCATGACTGGATTTCAAAAGGACAAGTTCTCTGCCACTAATATGTCTTTGAATTCTGTTTCGCAGCAAAGATTGCTGACTTGGTGTCTTCGACATACAGGACCATCAAAACAAAACTGCCCTCGACATTGCAAAGCATGTCGCTGTATTTATCCAACAAGGACACAGAGTTCATCTTGTTCAAGCCGGTTAGGGTAAGTATTTCGGTAGCGTTTCCTCTTTTTTTTATTAATATGAGAACCAAAGTTTTATAGGTTTTTCACTTTACATACTTGAATGCATACTTTAATAGTAGCTTATTCATATTTGCAAACTGTTGCAACGTGTTTTAAGTCAAGTGATTCTGTTTTGCCTCAAACTAAGCAACCTCTGTAGCTCATCCCTTTGGTGATTCTGTGGAAGTTTGTACCTTTTCTTGGACAAACGTATGGTGCTATATTCTGGTAAAGGTAAAGGGACCCCTGACCGTTAGGTCCTGTCATGGCCGACTCTGGGGTTGCGGCGCTCATCTCGCTTTATTGGCCGAGGGAGCCGGCGTACAGCTTCCGGGTCATGTGGCCAGCATGACTGAGCCGCTTCTGGCGAACCAGAGCAGCGCATGGAAACGCTGTTTACCTTCCCGCCAGAGCAGTACCTATTTATCTATTTGCACTTTGACGTGCTTTCGAACTGCTAGGTTGGCAGGAGCTGGGACCGAGCAACGGGAGCTCACCCCGTCACGGGAATTAGAACTGCTGACCTTCTGATCGGCAAGTCCTAGGCTCTGGTTTAACCCACAGCGCCACCCGCATCCCCTATATTCTGGAGTGGCCTGCAAAATCTTCCTGTAGCTAATGCCACGTCTTTGGTTGTCCTCACTTCTTACACCACAGTTCCTGCTGCATCCTGGCTCCTCTTCCTCTTCTCTAGTCTACCTATAGTTCTCTGCTCTGCTGCCCTTGTAGTGCCAGGGATGTCTGCAAGTGACCAGGAAAGGTGATTTTGTGGATGAGGAGTAAACGCCTGCAGCTGAGTTCATGACAGAATTTGTCCTAATCTTTTTTTCGTTTACTTCCTGAAGCTGCCTATAAGCCATATGTGGCTTGTAGAGCCAGTTTTGTTGCAGAAAAGGGAAATCAAAATGAGCTGTGACGACTCCTGTATGATGAAGAGTTGCAGCGTTTGGGGCTTTTTGGTTCAGGGGCAGGAAAGTTAAGGATGGAACATGATAAAGGTGTGTAAAATTATTCACGGTGTGGAAAGCAGTTTGCCCCCCTTTCTCTTTCATAGTACAGCGGTACCTCGGTTTACGAACAGTCCTGTTTATGAACTATTAGGTTTACGAACTCTGCAAAAACGGAAGTAGTGTTTGCAAACTTTATCTTGGTCTACGAAAGGAAGCTGAATGGTGGAAGGGCACCGGCAGCGGGAGGCTTCGTTAGGGAAAGCACGCCTCGGTTTGAGAACGGATTTGGTTTAAGAACAGACTTCAGGAACGGATTAATTGGTACCACCGTACTAGAATCTGGGGTCACCTAGAGAAGCTGATTCTTCAAGCAGCACATAGCAAGACTATGAAATTTGGCTTTCCGGGATGTGATGATGGCCTCCAACTTTGGCTGCAAAGGGGAATTAGCCTATCGGCGACTGATATTCATGATGGGTATACGCTACCTTCAAGGGACGCAGGTGGCGCTGTGGGTTAAACCACAGAGCCTAGGGCTTGCTGATCAGAAGGTTGGCGGTTCGAATCCCGCGACGGGGTGAGCTCCCATTGCTCTGTCCCAGCTCCTGCCAACCTAGCAGTTCGAAAGCACATCAAAGTGCAAGTAGATAAATAAGTACCACTCCAGTGGGAAGGTAAATGGTGTTTCCGTGCGCTGCTCTGGTTCACCAGAAGCGGCTTAGTCATGCTGGCCACATGACCCGGAAGCTGTACTCCGGCTCCCTTGGCCAATAAAGCGAGATGAGCGCCGCAACCCCAGAGTCTGCCACGACTGGACCTAATGGTCAGGGGTCCCTTTACCTTTACCTTATACGCTACCTTCAGGGTCAGAGACCCCAAGCCTCTGAATACCAGTTGCTGGAAAACAACAGTATCGCTCAAGGCCTGGTTGTGGGTTTCCTGGAGGCATCTAGTTAACAAGATGCTGGATTAGGCCAGGCGCATCCAGCAAGGCTGCTATTATGTTCTGTCACTCCTGCATCCTTCCAGTAGGCTGTGCCTTTACAGATAAACGCTGCATAAGGGGCCTTATTCATCTTAGGAGCTTATGTAGACCGCCAGCTGCTGATGTAGGTTTTCTTACACAGTGACATCTCTGACCCCTTGAGTTTTAACTGCCTAATGGGAGAATGTAGAAGTAAAAATGAAGCTTCTAAGTCACCTTTACTCATTAGTTCTTCCCCAAACTGGATATCTGTTCTCTGTATGCGTTCATATTTGAAGGCTGGTCTTAGGGTGAGGAAAGTTTTAAATATTTTATTTAAAAATATTTGATTTATGTATGGATATTGGGATTACCAAAAATGGAAAATGTAATAAAAAGTATTATTATTATTTTAAAAAGGAAAGTTTTAAATATGTTCTTCCTTTCCTCAGAACAATATTCAGCAAGTGTTCCAGAAACTGCATGCTCTACTAAAAGAAGAATTTAGCAAAGAAGATCTCCAGATTGTAGCCTGCCCTTCAATGGAACAGGTATGTAAGAAAACTCTTATTTTAAAAGACCACTCTGTGTGAACTACATTTTGGGTGAAATTCGGTCAGATCAATATATTCTTTCAACTAAATGTTCTGAGCACGGGAAGTTTGGCCCCTGAATATATTTTGTGGATGGCTTTAAGACAAAAGCAGCACAAATGCTTGCTTTTGGGTTATGTTGACAGGCTAGCAGTGCATCCAGAAACAAAGCTACAGGATGTCTCCGATCTAGGCAAGAGCCAGCCGTTGTAACTGGTACAAGGGCCTTGCTCAAAACTTTGCCAGGGGTCGGCAAACTAAGGCCCGTGGGCTGGATCAGGCCCAATTGCCTTCTGGATCCAGCCTGTGGATGGTCCGGGAATCGCCACGTGGATCTGTTTGGGCTGTGCCATTTCCCCTCCCACCACGGCGGCCCCTCCTCACTCCCTCCTGGCTTCTCCCTGCCCTGCGGAGGTAGGGGGCTGGGCTTTGATTGGTGCCAGCCAATTTGAAGCCTCACTGCCTGCATGCCCAGACCCGCCACCCACCCTGTCTGTTCATGGGCGCGCCTGGCGCCTGGGAAAGCTGGCCCAGAAAGGAGAGGGGGCTGCACTGCTGCCGGCTCCCAATCGCAGGCAGAGCGGTGGAGGAGGTAGGAAAGCAGAGGGAGGGGAGGGGCTGGGGGGAGAGAGAAGCCCCCCCTCTGCCGGGATCCCTGCTGCCCAGGGCTGAGGTCAACCCCCAATTGCATCTCCTTTCAGTCTCCAGATATATATATACAGTGGTACCTTGGGTTACATACGCTTCAGGTTACATACGCTTCAGGTTACAGACTCCGCTAACCCAGAAATAGTACCATGCGTTAAGAACTTTGCTTCAGGATGAGAACAGAAATCGTGCTCCGGCGGTGTGGCGGCAGCAGGAGGCCCCATTTGCTAAAGTGGTGCTTTAGGTTAAGAATAGTTTCAGGTTAAGAACGGACCTCCGGAACGAATTAAGTACTGTATTTTTCGCCCTATAGGACGCACTTTTTCCCCTCCAAAAATGAAGGGGAAATGTGTGTGTGTCCTATGGGGCGAATGCATGCTTCAGGAAGCTATCCGCAAGCCTGGGGAGCCCGCGGGAGTTCCTGCCTGGCTCCCCAGGCTTGCAGATAGCAGCCTGCAACCTGAAGCGCACCCCGGGCTTCGGGCAGATATCTGAAGAGTTCCCGCCGGGTTCCCTAGGCTTGCGGATAGCAGCCTGTTCTGGGGGCTGGGGTCGGAGGAAAAATTTCTTTATTCCCCCCCCCCCAAAAAAACCTAGGTGCGCCCTATGGGCCGGTGCGCCCTATAGGGCGAAAAATAAGGTACGTAACCCGAGGTACCACTGTATGTGTGTGTAATCCGGCCCACCACAAGGTCTGAGGCACGGTGAACCGACCCCCTGCTAAAAACGTTTGCTGACCCTTGGGCTATGCAGTCTGGGATTTTTGTGGTATGGTGTGCAGAAGCGATTAGGAGGCCACAAACTCTTCCTCTGTGTGTGTCTGTATGAGAGGGAAGCCCGCACCCCTGCCCAACGCACAGGAACGAGATTGTGCTCCCATTGAACAAGCCTCTTTTCCTCCTCTGAGTCCTTGCGGCAACGGAAGCGCTGCTCTGGGCAGCAGCCCTATGTATTGCCCTCAAATAGTTTCAGATCTCCATATCCAGGACCTTCCCTGTGCAAACCCCCACCCCCAAATTTTACTGCTTTTGTAAAACAGGCGTTACGAGTTCCACAGTAGTGAAACCCCTTTGCCATTTGCCTTCCAGGTAAATCTCCTTTTGTCAACAGCAAAGTAGTCCCTCTTTGAGAAGCCTCTTCAAATTGTCTGTCAGGCAGTGAAATGGACATTTATCTGAAGCAGACTCAGGGTGTGCCATCCTACCTGCTTTTAGCATCATCCATCCGAAGGTCAGGTGAACAAGAAGAGGATGAACCCCAGTATGTTATAACTTTTTTAAAAAAATAAAGCAGAAATACTGCTTTATTCAGAACAATGGTCAGCTTTTTTAGTTTGTTAGCATCTACCTACCTTGACTGCAAACATGTTGGGGTTAAATTCTATTTGCTCCCCTACCCAATTTTGTTAATATGTGTTTGTTTCTTTGCGAAGGGTTGTGCTGAAAATAAATTGGAGAAGGCAGGGACCCAAGAATCTCTTTAATAGAAGGCATAAGTGTATGTACACACCTTCCCACACTATCTCAATAATACCCTCCAAATTGCACATTCACAAGTCATCACGGCACCGCAGTCAGTGAGTGGTGAAGAGAGCATTTGTGAAAAAGTTTTCATTTGCCCTCCGGCAATAAGTCTCAGTTGAAGCTGATCAGCTGTATATCAAATGGTTTAGCTGCACGTGTAAATGAAGCACATTGTGAAAATTTCTCCAGTATTTGACTGGTGTACTGACACTCACCAATTCTTAATAACTCTAAAAAGAAATTTGCTGCAGTAAAATTGTGTGCATAGGATGTGCAGAGAAAGCTATGCAATTGAGGAATTGCCATAGAGAAATGGCTTCTAAGTTTGAATTACTGATATGTGAAATAATTCATTTTATAAAAATGAAGCTCCATTAGAACTTCTGTTTTTTACAAATAACAGCAGCAACTAAAAACCTTAATTGGAGTGGAGATGGAGAGGAGTCCTAGCTTGCCTGTGCCTTCTTGCTTGTGGCAACTTTATCTCATGCTTTTTGGTTTACGTTAAACCAGAGTTTCCTAACCTGCCACCCTCCCTGTCTCTAGCCAGCTGGAGAGTCACAGAGTCTCTTTTTCCCAGCCCTGCTTTAAACATTTCTCTTTTCAAGATCCGCTGGATGCTAAAATGACTGTAAAATCAGGAGGCTAGCATGAACGAGGAACAAAAGGCAGCACTAGTTATGGAGAGAAGGAACTAAAACTTAAGTTCCAACAAACGTATATTACATTAAGGTAATTCCCAAATAATAATTTGAGGGGAAAGCCATCTTCGTGGTTGGGGTGGAATTAATAAGAAAGCTTTTATAGTTACGAGTTCAAATTTGTAGAAAGAAATAAAACTCCCATTACCGCTTTGCTTTTATTCATAAATTGGTGGTTGGGGGGGGGGGCGGTTCTGCATATTAGTGGTGTGTTTTTAAAGCAGCTTCAAGCTGTTTGCCTGCCACCCATTTGACAAGGCAATTGGCACCCGTTGAAAGCTGTTACTGCAAAGCAGATTTGTTGTAAAATAACGTCCTGTGGACTTCGTATCATGTTTTTCAAGTAAATTATGGCATGATTGCTGTATATGAAATCATAGTGTATTTTAATCAAATTTTCTAAGCATTCGAATCAGTTGACCAAATCCTTTTGTTTCTAAAGCAGAATGCCCTTTATCCCACCCACCCTGTGTCATCCTGTTCTAGCAAACTTGTATAAAGCTATAGCTTCAGATATTTACGTATAAAAATAGTGTACATAATTTAAAACGTTATCAAAGATTATATTATTTGACTAATGTTCCTCTTTGTTTTCCCCCCTTTTAAATAAAAGTTCTGCTTTCTTACTTCGAGATAGTTTCGTTTTGTCTACGCTGGGCTAGTTGCATGTGATTTCGAAAAAGGAATGGCTGCTTCAGGAAAAGTCCTCCCCGGTATTTTCTGAAGGCAAGTTCCTTTTATATTTATTTATTAAGAAACCATTTGAGCTGTTGCCACCTCTTGAGACATACAACACACAGATTGCTTTAGCTATGCTTCCTTTCAGCCCAGGTTTTTGTATCCTGTGTTGCGGATAATTATCATCATGATAATTTGGTTGTTCCTTTGTGGAATGGAAGGTGTGCACTCTGTTCCTGTTGCTTTTCCATCCGAAAGTATCTTTTTGCAAGCCTCGTGGAACAAGGTTTGCCAGCCACTCCTGAAGGGTAATCATTGTACACCCCCCACCCCACCCCCCCAAAAAATGTGAGGGGAATTGTGCACTGAGTCCTCTATTCCATCCTGATTAAGCCCATATGCAGGAGTACCGTATTGGCCCGAATATAAGCCGCACCTTTAAAATTCAAGAGGGAAGAAGACAATACCCGAATTTAAGCCACTCCCTTAAAATTCTGCAGGCATTCACACCCGCAAATGGCAAATGTGGAAGAAAATCCTACAGCGATATTGTAAAAGCCCATTTTTGTAAGGTCACGAATTTAAGCCGCACCTTAACTTTTCGCGGTCGGAATTTGGAAAAAAAAGTGTGGCTTATATTCGGGCCAATATGGTATTTGTGCAGGACTGGGGGAGCTCAGGCCAGGATTGTGCACCTTTGCATATTCTTCATTCGTACTGCCTTGGCAATTTCACATTCCAAATAGTATCCAGGGGTTTACAGAGACAGCTTTAAAAGAGGATGAGACCACTTCTTGGAAAATAAGGTGATCAGTGGCTACTAGTTGCAGAGAATCACAATTGAGGAGAGCACTGGTGTGCTCAGGTCCTGGGTGCGAGCTTTCCCCCAGGCATCCCTCCGGCCTTGGAGAGCCCCAGGATCCTGAATCAGCAAGGGATTTTCTTACGTTCTTGCGAATACAGGCACCACCAACCGGAGGCTGATGTTTACTAAATCACTTCTGTAAAAGAACACACTTTGAATTCAATCTTTCCATTTATTGTCAAATAATAATCCACTGCAATGAGGAAACAAAACGCAAAAAGTGACTTCTTGACGGGTAACGGGTGAGCACGGAACACGCATGTGTATTATTAAAACTAAAAATGGCATCGAGATGGTTACATACGGCCAATATGGTTAAGCTCATGATTTGCACCTATCCAATCCTTTTCCGTTTTTAATGCCACGTCTAAACGCTGCTTCGGATAAAAATGCAAATAAAAAAAGCATTAGAAACCCATTAAAATACGTTAGGGAAGCCGTTCTCTCGGACCCTCTCCTGTGCAAGAGCTGCAGGAGACTGTAAATCATTTCAATGGGACTCAAGCGGTAACAATCCTTCATTATGAAAATGTTAGCTCCCCAAATGGATGGAAGCAGCATTTTGTGGCTTAGTTGTAACTGAGCTATAATTTTGCTAACCCCTCATATTTAATGTGATCGTACATGGAATAATTAATATAAATAAAAATGGAAAAGTCTTCTTCTTTACTGCCCTTTTTAAAAAGCTTTCAATGAATTTAATTTTCTTCAATATAAGTTATTTGTAAGTCTATACAAAGGCAAATATACATATATACAGTCATAATATTAAAGCACTTCAATTGACTTTTTTTTGGCTGATCTTGTGTGGGGGGGGAAGAGTCAGCAAAAAAGAAATCCTGCTATTTGGAGCATGGCTATTAATACAACGAACTGCAAACATGCTGACTGTGAGTTAGTTGCTGTTACTATGAATAAACTGTATAAAAGCATCAGCAGAAAAATAGGATTTTTTATATTTAATAAATACAGCTTATGACAAAATCGCAATCTAAATCTTTGCTAGTTGTACTTGTCCATGACCCCTTTTCTCTTTTTAAACAAAATGACTATGAAAAAAACAACAGGTTCGTTTTGCATGGAAGTGCAAAATTTGGGAAATTGGCACTGGAATTCTATGCATGCTTACTCAGAATTAAATTCCATTGAACACAATGGGGCTTACTCCCTGGTAAGTGTGCAAAGGATTGCAGTCACAGTAGTGTATAATTCAAGGAGATCCAAAACAAAGTGGCTTTGGAAATCCAGACGTGCAGGTTGCTTGTACTTTTCTGTGTTTCTTTTCGAAAAGACAGGCAGAAAAATCACATTTGCCACCAATTCTAAAAAGGCACATTCAGGAATATTTTGCCAGAATATATCCACAACTGAGAAGGATGCCTTGATAGCGTCTGGCTGCTTGCTCTATTATTTGGTGCTAAGCCAGACATGTAAGAAGCAACTGCAAAAAGAGAAAAAGGCAGAGAGTTGTGAATGAATGGATCACTTTTTCTTACCCTACCAATCGTCTGGTCTGCCATTTGAGCTGGTAGGAGTCCACTTAGGAAATTAGGTGACCTGAAATCACTGCATCTGACTTCCAAATAAATCCTCCGGCAGGAGCTATTCCAGTTAAGAGGACGAGGAAGCAATAGTGGCAACAGTTATGCTTTAAAATGCACACGATTGGTGTGGGGTTTTTTTTAACGCAGTGTTCATCCAAAAAGAATGCACTAAATTCTCACAAAGGCACAAACCACTGGAAATGGCTTCAGCACAAGCGCCGCTGGCAGAAATGTAGCTTTAGGAAGCTTGTGCAGATGACATTCTGAGTAGATCTGGCCCAGAACATGCAGTGGGCAGAACTTTCAGGATATGTGTGGAATAGCTGGGTCAAAATGCCTAGAACGTGGCTGGATAATGTCAAGCAGAATAGAATACAACATTTTATCGGCTGGTAACGCCAAATCTTAATGACCAAACAAAGATCCAGGCTCAGTTCTTTTCGTCTGCCTCAAGGCACAGTGTCAAGACCGCTGCCTTACTTGCTGTTTTAGATAAGTGCAGTTAAAGTAGGTTTTTGACAGCCAACTGACCAGTAAAACAAAATAGAAGATTGCAACCTCAATAAAACGGGGGAATAGGAAACACAGAAAAGCCTGCTTAAATCTGGTGTAGTGAATTAAAAGATAATGGGAGGATGATCTTGGCAATGTGCCCTTCTATATAAAATGGGTCTCCGTAAATCCCTTTCCCCTTCATCATGTGTTAAGGTGCACATTCCAAAGGAAGGGAACAAGAGCTGCATGAGGTTTTTAGCAGGATGAGACACCAACTTCACCCGCTGCCAGCCGGACTGCAGTCACAGATTCTGCAACCAAAATGCATTCACTGTTCTCGTGTTCTCTTCCCCTCCCCACCCTGCTCACGTTATGACACACTCCCATCTCATTGCTTTCCCCCAGTTTCACACCGCGGAGAGCAATACTCAATACTGAACGAAAGCGAAGTCTTATCTTGCCGCCCCTGAAGGATAAAAGCAGACACAAAGGCAGCATTGTAAGCGGCTCGGTACTTTGCTCTGGTCAACCTTTAAAGGAGGCAAGGGCTTCGAGTCAGTCCAACACTTTTACCACATTCACATCCGTGTCTCCACGCTTGTCGGCTACATTCATGAAATAAGTCTTTTCTGAACATTTTTTTCTTACAGTTTCAAACCCAGGTCCTTCTCTTTGTCTGTCTGTCTGTCTGTCTGTCTCTCTCTCTCCTGGTGAAATCACCAATGGGCTAGCAATGGCTTTTATGAAGATACAAGTTTCACGTAGTTGCCTGGGAAAGTACCAAACTGTTGTGTTCTCCGGGATGTGCCTGTTGAGAAATAAAACAAGAACCAATGTGGGCGTGGCGGCCCAAAAAGCAGGCTGGTGGTGATGGCTTTCCCATCTTTGCTTTGCTATCGCTGTGTAGCAGGAAAACACGCAACTTGATCCCGTGAAAGGATCCTCCACTTATTTGGTTAGTGCATGGGGTTAAACCACTGAGCCTAGGGCTTGCTGATCAGAAGGTCGGCGGTTCGAATCCCTGCGACAGGGTGAGCTCCCATTGCTCGGTCCCTGCTCCTGCCCACCTAGCAGTTCGAAAGCACACCAAAGTGCAAGTAGATAAATAGGTACCACTCCAGCAGGAAGGTAAACGGTGTTTCCGTGTGCTGCTCTGGTTCGCCAGAAGCGGCTTAGTCATGCTGGCCACATGACCCGGAAGCTGTACGCTGGCTCCCTTGGCCAGTAAAGCAAAATGAGCGCCGCAACCCCAGAGTCGTCCGTGACTGGACCTAATGGTCAGGGGTCCCTTTACCTATCTCCAGATAAGGCTGAAACCCAGCCTAAAATTATGGAGAGCTGCTGCCAGTCTGTAGACAACACTGAGCTACGTGGACCAATGGCCTGTGACTGTGTCTTCCTAGAATGCTGAAACACATGCTGCCCAATGGGACAGAGATCTGATGTGATGCCCCATGTCCTTGGAAGTCCATACCAGAAGAGCTCCCTCTTTTTCTTCAAGTTTCCCCTCAAAATAAATCTTTTCAGCGGAGCCTGGCTTAATCCTAGCTGAAATAAAAGACCATGTACCAATAACTCTACATCTTTTGGTCCTTTGCTTCCCCGCCTTTTTGTCTTCTGCCGCATCAAAATTCAGCTTGTATGATTTCTTGGGCAAGATACGCTTTTTAATATCGCTCGAAAGCATCGTGCACACTGATCGCTCCAATTTGAAATGATTAGCTGGAGGGAGGCCCCGTTTCGAAATAAAAGTATTGGTCTCAAGCCACAGAGTCAGTGAGTGGGTGTCAGTCTGGCAATGTTTGAAGGACAGGGCGGAAGAGCAGGGAAGGAAGAACTGGAAACTGGAGCCAAGTGGAGGGCATTATGCACAGCACCAGATTCAAGGGCTTGGCTTGAGCTGAAAAGATGTAAAATAGTCTGAAATGGGTTTTTTTTTTAATCTATTGGTATGAAACAGGTCTTTACGACCTATTGCATGAGTGATTGGCTTATCCATAACTACAATAAAAGTAAAATAACGGTCTTCTCCAAAAGGATTTCAGTTTATAAATGGTTTTTGGATGAGCATGTGAATAATAATTGCCATTATTAGACAATAGTTGGATCAATTAAACAGCCTCTTGCAACAGTTGAAGGTTTTAGAGTAGTCTACGTATGCCGTAATTATCCAGAATTCCAATCGGGGTCAACAGTAAATTTAGTGCTTTGGAAGGAGTGTAAGGTAAGGTGTTGCAAAATCTATTTGGGGTACCAAAATGCATGGCCAATGGTGTTCTATGTTTGGAGGTCGGTTTCCCAATGGCTGAAAACTCAGAGTGAATACCTCTCTAAACTAATGGCTATATTTACTTTGTCTACATCCACAAAGCCTGTTACAAATCAGAATGTGCTAACAGCATGTGTGTTCTGTCTTGAACACCTAGCCATCAAAATTGGTTACCGTTGAACCTTTCTAAGGAATTAATGGCTATTTTGAGGCATTGTACAGTAAAAACATGCTTGAGGAAAATAAGCTTATATCTAAACATAACCAGGAAATGTTGTTCTCCCTCTATACCTGCTGTGAAGGGAAGGGAAAGAATCATATTTACTAAATGTGGTGGCTCAGATAAGCCTTTCCGCTTAATGAGATTTAATGCTACACAGTTGTTTAACTGGTGGGTCATATGGCAGAATTTATTGCTGCAGAACATCAGTGTGTGTTGGGGTCTGAGGAAGTAGAAACTGATTCATGGATCTTTCCCATCCCAGTGCTGTTTCTCCAGTAGTTTGTGTGAAACATATATAGGCCTGTTGCTTGAATCTTGCCCAGGAAAGTTTTTGGGTTGTCAGGACAATTTTCTATTGGTAGGGAGGGTCACAGGGAAAAACATTAAGATTTGTAGCTGCTGCTGTTACTGCTAAAATGCATAGCAAACTCACAGCAGAATATACGCAATCACTCCTAGTCAAGCAAATTATCAGAATTATAGCATGTATGCTGCTCTGGCTAACTGTAGATTTTGTGTAAATAGGTCTGTGAATCAAATGGATATTAATTAATGTTCCCGTTAATGTTTTAAAAACGAGTTGAAATGACAGATGTCATGCTCACCAACAAACCAGCCGTCATCACACTTCTCCATGACATCTATGATATCTCCATCTCTTAACTCCAGCTCATCTTCATTCTGCGGGACATAGCTATACAATGCTTGGTAGCTAAGCCTGAAAACGCACAGAAACAGTGGAGGGGGGTAGAATTAAGGGAAGAGATTGCCAGCCACTACTAACAATATCCCTCTTGTAACTAACTTTCTTCAAATACAGATCCAATGATGATGATTCAAATTTGTATACCACCCTATACCCACAGGTCTCAGGGCAGTTACAAGATAAAAATCACAATATAAAAACACAAAATGCATAATAAAACCAAAAACCAACCCAATAATCCCCCCTCCCCAACATTTAAAAGGTATAATGAAGGTACCATGCTTCCCTGGGGAGAGCATTCCACAAACGGGAAATCTGCTGGGATAGGAGTCTAAATTTCCTCTGCCCTCTCTCAACTTTATCCAACAATATTCTGACCGTATTCAGTTCCCATCAGCTCCCTCGTACCCTATTCTGCACCACAGACAGCCCCTAAATAAATCTTGAAACCACGGGACCAGATCAGGTGGCAAGGAGTGGCACGTAGAACTTCATCCAGTGGCCCTGTGGCACTCTTGATGGCAAAAGTGTCTACAGGACCTCCCCGGGGAGATTATGAGCTGCCACCGCCCTTCTGAAGTCTTCCAACTAGCAGGAAGTTCCAAAAGTCCACACCAAGGTACCACACATCCATCTCCAGACCTCTGATCCATGATATTTTAAAAAATGAAGACGAGTCTGGTAGGATCAATAGGGCACAATTTCCTCTTGTGATCTCAGCCAAGACCACAAAACCAAAATACTGGTGAGTCCCTTGTGTTAAATAAGAAAACCCATCAAACTAAAAATTGTTCTGTGTCTCCTGCATTCCATCCATCAAATGTACGACAGCTGCTGAAATGAGGGACGAATGCGTCCCCTTTCAGACCAACTTACATATCTTGTGGCGCGTGGTTCCTGTCGAGGCTTGTTCCCAGCGGCAGGACTTGCGGTTGCTGAGAAATGATGAAAGATGATTTATTGTCACTATGGGGCCCCTTGTGGCAAGAGACAAGAGGCTGAGAAATTGTGCTGCAGTAATGAACGGACTTTTCCGCAATGTTTAAGATCTCATTGCAAACGGTTTCCTGGGCGGTAGAGACAGTGCAGGGTTGACATCCACGGAGGGAGGGGAAACACGTCAGAGGACAGTGAACAGGGGAAAGTGGGGAGGAGGGGGGGATAGTCAGTAAGAGATGGGGAAATCCAGTTGTAGCAATCCAGTAAGACAAGACAGTGGTAGATCCAGCCAGTGAAGTGTAGAGGAATCCAGGTGGAAAGCATGGAAAAACAGAGGCAAGATACAGAAGAGTTTGCTATTTAGTTTTAGATATATAGATTGACGTATTTGTAACAAAGCAGTAGCAGCAAAAGATACTGGAATTAGCAAGGACCTCAAGTTCACATCTTCCAGCTCTGAGTGCGTCATTTCAAAACACATCACATGCATGCAACCGAAGTTCTCCCCCCAATGCTACAGATATTTAATGCCTGTGTTTGCTTCGCCTGCAGTAGCCTTTGTTTCAGAAAATTTCAGCTCCTGTTGCAATGGCCTAACTGCGCACCAAAACTCCACATAGAAGCCAGGTGTTTGCGATGGCACCTGGTTCAGCTCACCCTGCACCAGAGCCTCCATCTCGTGTACTTGGGACAGCGGTGGCAAAATAATTAGGGTTGAGAGCCAAAAAAAATATCATTGTTCACATAACCAAACCCACTCTGGCATTTGGGGCTCCTTTCCCCCCAAAATACTGGCACGTCTAGACTATGATGTCAAGAAGCAGGTAACAGATGTTTTATGAGTGCAGCACTGCACCAAAATGTTGCAGGCTGAGATACTTCTGGTTCAGGGATACGGTCACTCTGGTTTTTGCTCTCTCCTCCCACAAGTCAGGCCTCATTTTGGGTCAAGTGACTATGCTCAGTCGTCACTAGCTTGGGGCTTGTTCCATGCCCTCCAACATTTCTCCAATATAAATAAGAGTACGTCCCCTCCGACGTTTCTCTGATGAAAATAGGGACATTCTATTCCATACTGTCCAACATTTCTCCAATGAAAATAGGGACGTCCTAAGGAAAAAATGGACATTTCAGGATGAAATCAGAAACCGGGACAGCTTCTGAAAAATCCAGAACTGTCCCTGGAAAATAGGGACATTTGGAGGGTTTTCTGATTTCCTCCTTCCATTTTTGTTTGTTTTGAATGAGGACACAGTTCTTCTCCATCCCTACTATATAACAATCTTTGGACTTCTACCTCCAGAAACATTTAAAATAGCTCCTCAGGGTGAATTAGGAAATGACCTGTCCAGAAAATGAGATGGTTTATTCAACCTCATGTCAACACCCGTGTATCTCTTCCTCTCCACTTTTCAGCCATTCCATTCCCTCTCCCAGGTGGTTCTCGCAATCCCACCCAACCTCAGTCAGACAACATTTCATGCCACTGAGTTCCTGTGAAAATGGTTAGGGGGTGTTTGCTCCCTTTAGGGTTCCTTTCTAAAGATTTTTTTTTTTTATAAAGCACCTGCAAACCTCAGGATTACTCCGAGTCTGCTGGTACCTCTTGTGTACGGTATTGTTTTGCTTACACCTCCAAAAGTATGAAATGGAAATAAGAGAGAATGGCGCTTGTATGAACAATGCTAAAATGGGGCTGCAGATATGAATCTCAGGCGATCTTACCACATAGCTCTTTTCAGATTCTGTGAGATCTGGTCCTGGCCTCAATGAATGATGAGAAGGCTGTGTGATCACCAAAGCACATGATAAGGGAGACATTTTAGCAAATGCACTAGCAAGTCAAATTCAAATCATAGGAAGAAAGCAAAACAAAAATAAACAAGGGAAATTTGACATAAATGACATTCGCCGCTGGATATTATTAAACAGCTGTGCCGTAGAGCACACACTGTGACTCTGGCAAGAAGGATTAGAAGAAGAAGAGCTAGAAGATGAAATGATGGGTTAGCAAAACAAAGACCGATGTTCAAAAAAATATTATGGCACAGTTCCTCTGGAAGGACACAAAAGAGCACAAACTCTAGACTCCGTGATTTAAAGGGGAATTACCAGGGGAGGAAACGGAAACATGTAGAATACCTATGAGAACTGCTTGGAGCAAGAAGATATACTTTGGAGCCCCTGATGATAGGATTTGCCAGACAATGAGATGAATTAACCTAGAATTTTCTTATTCTTTTGCCCTCAACATTCTGTAACTCCTGACGGTCACCGTGGGGTGTGTGTGTGTGTGCGCTTTTTATATATAGAAGCACATGCAAGCATCAAGCACGTTAACTTTTTCTTTTAATTTACTCATTTATATTTACACACCTATGGAGGTCCTTAGGTATGTTCTTTACTTTTCATGTGGGACCATTTTGCTTCCAAATAGGTAGGCATTTGATCACCCATGTTTCCTATTAAGGGGATTTTTAGTAAATGAATAAACTACAGCCGTACCTTGGATCTTGAACGACTTGCAAGACGAACGGTTTGGGTCCTGAACGTCACAAACCCGGAAGTGAGTGTTCTGCTTTGCAAAAGTTCTTTGGAAACTGAACATCCGTCGCGACTTCCGTGGCTTCCAATTGGCTGCAGGAGCCTCCTGCAGCCAATCGGAAGCCAAGCCTTGGTTTTCAAACATTTTCGGAAGTCGAACGGACTTGCGGAACGGATTCCATTTGACTTCCAAGGTACCACTGTTTTATGAAACTGGGATGCACCCAAGTTTCAACCCCTTTATCAACCAGTTTGAAAGCAAATGGGCCCACAAAGGAAACAACTGTGCAAAATGGCTGAAATATAACTGACCAGGAAATGCAATTATGTCACCTAGATTAATCAAGATTATGCTATTTTTTTTTAAATTCCACTGCATGAAAATTAGCTCACCAGTTTGTGAGCTAGGGTGTTTGTGTTGCTTTAATGCAATTGTCGTGGTTTGTGGTTTATTATATAATATTATGTTACTTATTTATTATTAGATTATATTATTCTTATGCTTTAGGCATTTCTGTACCTGCGGACCTCTTCATCCCTCCCCCAAAACTATTTATTATTTTATTTCACAAAATTTATAAACCGCTTGATTGTAAAGTGGGGTGGGGATGGCAAACCCACGTCAACACGGTTTTACAAAGTGGTATGTACGCCTGCCAATTTAAGATCGTACTCCAGCCACAAAAGCTTAGGCCAGAACATATATTTATTTGCCTTTAAGCTGCTACGACCACAGCTGCCCCTCTTGGGGGGAAAAGAACAAATTGGAGTCCTTTCTGGGCATATGAGAAGCAGGCACAAGTGATGTAGATAGGAAGGCTTCCAAGTTTACACTTTGCTGCTAGCCTCGACTCATTTCCCTTTTCTCTATCTCTCTCTCTCCCTTTTATATAACTGGGAATGTCTACTGTGGCAATTTTCCACTTAGACGGAAGGACAGTACATTCAAGTTACTGGGCACAAGCCGTCACAATTCACAGACATAAATGTCAGCTGCAGAAGATGCATTTGGACTCAGGCACACAAGTCAGATTCATTTTTTACGGCGCTTATTCATTCACATACAAAAATCTCTCGATGGATGGCAAGAGCTGTGCTGTTTCAATTCCCATTTCAAAGAACCCAACACAGCAACGACATCCATTTAAGCAAGAGATAACCTCAGGAGACTTTAACCAGTCTCCTGAAACTCTCAAGACAGAATCTAGGGAGAACAAATTGAGTAAAGTGGTCTTTCGCATCGTTGAAATTATGATACGTAACCTCTCCCTTATGATTTCTATGATTCGGCTTCGTAACAGGTGAAAAAGGTCCTTTCAGCTGTATTGTTACCAAAGAGCACCTCAGTTCTATGTACTCAGCTCCCAACTTGTCTCTCAATTCCTACTGTGTCTGTAATGGCTAGCTGGCAAGGGCTGTTCTAGCTTATCATGACGTCGTGTGTTGCAGGGCAAATTGCTGCATCATCTATTGGCTTGGAAGACAACACCTTGTGCCTTGCATCCTACTGCAATTAGCGCAGCACCTTGCCACTCACTAATTAGTTGTTGAGAGTCCGGATTATGTGATCTTCCAGCTAGTAGCATGACATACACACAAACACATCCAGTGTTTAGTGCCATCCGTTCAGAAAAGGACAGACAACTGATCACACCTTTGTGTTTTCCTTTTTTAAAAAAAAAAACACACCAAAAACTCTTGTCACTTTGGTTTTTCTTTTCTAAGACTATTGTTATGAGTTTGGGGGAAGGTTCCAAACCTGTGACCCTGTGTTTGGGAGGCTGCAATCTAGCAGTGTTTCTCAAACTTGGGACTACAACTCCCATCATCCCTGACCATGAGACCTGCTAGCTAGGGATGATGGGAGTTGTAGTCCAACAGCAGCTGGGCACCCAAATTTAAGAAACACTGAGATAGGATTATAGCGAGGTTGGAGAGCTAAAAATAATGGCAATATATTTCACATCTGGCGACCAACAAGCCCCTTCGGTTTCAGATAGTACAGGGGTAGACGAGTCTAAAAATCCTGGGACACAAATTTTCAGGGCCCTCTAGCGGTTATGCATCTCTTTTACCAGAAGTAATGTATTCAGCATTAACTTTGGAAGTGTATACTTGATTCTGACCAAACTATACCTCGCCAACCAAGTGTGCCACATAATCCCGTACATCCTAGAAGATGAGACGAAACAATAGGCGCACGTGAAGATAGACACAATCGAAAACACCCCGGCCACAGCATACTCATTCTTCCAAAGCAAACTAAGGAAAATCCCCGCAACACTAAACAGGTCCACACAGTCCATGTTTAAAGCATGGAAGGAAAAAGTAGGCAAACTGTCTCCAACCCCATCCCAACTAATCCCCCTGGGCCCACAATCCACAACTCCATCACACAGCCCCAAACTTCCAAGTAAAAACTTGGCAATCCAAAGCCTTACACCACCTAACAGCTGTCTACAAACCCATACAGACATAAGAAATACAAGACAAACTAGGGGATACCCAAATACCCTGGCTAACACCCTACCAGCTAAATGCCTTCTTAAACATCCCAGCAGTAAAAACAGCAGCCATTAGGCCTTTGACCACCTTCTCCTGACAGCAGAGAGACATGGCAAAGGGATGGTATCCACAAATAACAAAATACTGCTCCAGAATCCCACAAACCTCCACATCTCAATCAAACAACAATGGGAGCATGACATACGTTACGAAATAAACCCTACCCAATGGACTAAACTGTGGTCAAAACCACCCTTTAATCTCAGCCAAAAAAAGGGGAAACTCGCCCAGAAACTTATCTACAGATGGTACCTAACACCACGTAAGTTGGTGCTGATATACTCAGAAACCTCACAAAAATGCTGGAGAGGTTGCCCCTCTACAGGCACTTGCCTCCATATATGGTGGGACTGCCCCAAAATCAAACACTTTTGGACATCAGCCCTACTAGAAATATGCAAAAGAACAAAGCAGGTATTAGAAGACACCCCAGAACTGGCCTTACTGAATATGTTCTAAGACGATAATGCACAATCACGCTACAAAAAACCCTTAAGCCAGCTACCCTCAGCAGCCAGGAGCGTCATAACTAGACACTGGCGGGAACTGTTCCAGTTCCAGTTAATTTTTTTGTAGCACTAGCCATAGGCCATGGCATCATTCAGAAGGAGAGCAAAAAGAAAGACAACAATAACCATAAAAATAATCAGGCACCACACATACAGTAAAACCACGGTCGCGGCTACTAAAATTATTTGTTGCATTAAATAGAATAGCAGAAGATTCTCAGGTAAGATGTGTCAAATTAAATATCCGAATCCCCTTTGCAGTTGACTGCTATTTTTTTCTAGTTCTTTCCTCCTGATCTTTTTAGCTGTCAACGCATAGAGTGCTACTTTATAAGTAACAAAGTTGTCAGCGTCGCTCAACAGCCATTACACCCTTTCCACCCTATTCAGATGTGTTTCATTCATAAACAAGGGTTTTATAGATCGGTCTCTTGAGTCTATATATAACAGGCACTGCAATAAATGGTGGCACAGGTCCCCCACACAGGGTTGTCCACACAGACAAAGTCTCTCTTTGTAATATACCGTATTTTTCGCTCTATAAGACGCACCAGACCACAAGACGCACCTAGTTTTTGGAGGAGGAAAACAAGAAAAAAAATATTCTGAATCTCAGAAGCCAGAACAGCAAGAGGGATCGCTACGCAGTGAAAGCAGCAATCCCTCTTGCTGTTCTGGCTTCTGGGATAGCTGCGCAGCCTGCATTCGCTCCATAAGACGCACACACATTTCCCCTTACTTTTTAGGAGGGAAAAAGTGAGTCTTATAGATCAAAAGATACGGTACTTTGCTGTACTGGACCTGTTAGGAGTGAACATGGACCACTGGTACCAAGCCATATGGGAAACAGCCCTCTCAGAAAAGCTAACTAAGAAACTGAAACTAGCACAGTGAAAAATAAAAGAGGACACCTTCACCCCAGTGTAGCTCCCCCCCCCCCTTTATTACACACACAGCCCAACAAGACAACAGCAAGAACCCACTGATAGCATAGGTAAGTTGACCTAACAACCCCTCCCTAACACAAGCAAACAGAACTCATTGCAGACCACCTTCCATGCCCTGGGACCCCCAACCTCTCTCACTGCCAATGAAAGCTTAACAAATAGCAAGAGAACCTACCCACGTGATTCCGACACAAAACCCTTGCCTTGCCAAAAAGTTATGCACACTTTATATAAGGATAGTAACATGGAATCCTGGCTGAGATTAATAGGGCCTGTGCTAATTTAGCACATTAGCTAAATGCACCTTATTCATCACTGTGAACATAGAAAAATGATTTACATTGAGTCAGATCTTGGCCCATCTAGGCCACTATTACCTATGAATTAACACCAGATACAGCTTTTTCCACGTCACTCGTAATGAAAATGTTTCCCACCCCACAGGGTTAGTTCAACCATTTGAACTAACCACTTGTGAAGCTAACGACCTTAAACCCGACCAATTAATATTCTCAATGAAGACAGGATCCAATTTATACGGCTGAAAAAGGAAGATCTTGAGAGGCTGCTAGCAGTCAGAATAACAGCCAGAAAAATAAAACACAGGCAAAAATATCAAAACAGTTCTAAAAAAACACCATGGTATAAAATAGTAGGAAGGACCTATAAAATGGCCGACATGTTTTACTTAAAGTCTCCTTGTGGGGAACAAGGAATACCGTTTTCCTGTTAAGGCAATACCTTAATTAAGACATGCTGTTGCCTTAATAGGAACTGTATTGTGACCCTGAAGAAGTTTTGAACTGAAATGGGTTGAGCGTTTCCGAAGGCCTTTCTGTTATTTTATAAAATTCAAGTACTGTTTTAAAGTTTCCTCCCTCACGCCTTTTTTGCTTGGTGCTGTACATTTCTTTTACTTTTGCTAGTCAGAGCAGACAATTGGCTCTTAGATCAGGCATAGGCAAACTCCGGCCCTCCAGATGTTTGGGACTACAATTCCCATCATCCCTAGCTAACAGGACCAGTGGTCAGGGATGATGGAGGGCTGGAGTTTGCCTATGTCTGTCTTAGATGGTCTCTGGCTCAGATTAAGGCAGCAACAATGTACCGTATTTTTCGCTCTATAAGATGCACCAGACCACAAGACGCACCTAGTTTTTGGAGGAGGAAAACAAGAAAAAAAATATTCTGAATCTCAGAAGCCAAAACAGCAAGATGGATCGCTGCGCAGTGAAAGCAGCAATCCCTCTTGCTGTTCTGGCTTCTGGGATAGCGCAGCCTGCATTCGCTCCATAAGACGCACACACACTTCCCCTTATTTTTTAGGAGGGAAAAAGTGAGTCTTATAGAGCAAAAAATACGGTATTTATCAGTCCAACCTAATCTAATACACATAGCAATTTACTCAATATAAAAGATGTACTTGACCTCTGAAATTCACATGCTGATAAGCAACAGCAGTGAGCATGAAATATCAATCGATGACATTCCCCCCAGCTCCCAAACTCCCGTGATTACCTGTGGGACGTTGACCGTGCGTGAGAGTCTGGGAGGTACTTGTGTTCTAACCGCAAAGGAAGAAATTGCAGAAGGAGACAGAAGAGTAGATGGAGAGAATGGTTTTGCGTTGACAGACTTTTAAAAGGAAGGAAAAGTTGGTCAGCAAAGAAGGGAAATGACCCATCGACACATCATTGCAGCAATGATGCTCTTACAAACAAGAAAACGTCTTCTGAACTCGGTGCAAAGATCGTCAACAAGTCCATGCAAAAAACAGGCATGCCTTTTCAAAGTGGTCGGGACCCATATTAGTATCGCAAGCTTAATGGGCTTTGAATGAATGTTGTTAGCTCAATGACATGACTCCCCTGAAAACATTGAGACAAGAATTAGTGTGCACCTGGAAATATATTTACTTACAAATTCAATCTCTTTCTGATTGTTCCTCCACAGGTCTCATGGGGTTAGGCACACACCATGCATTTTAAAAGTACATTTTAAAGCACCCTGAGAGCTGTAGTTTGTAAGGGGTCTGGGAACTGTAGCTGTGCGAGGGGCAAACTACACTTTCAGGGATTCTTTGGGGCAGGAGAGAGGCAAATTTCATGTATTGTGTGTACGCAGCCTTATGCCAAAACCAATGTATGAGATTCGGTGTTATGTACTGAGTTGAATAGGATCCAAAATGCAGCA